AACCTCCACCCCTTGGAACAGGCTCTTTTCGAAAACGGGGGATTAGGGGCTGCCACCCAGCCGAGCCCCCCAACACTCCCCTCCAAACCACCTTAAAACAACGCCGAACACCCAATTTTGGAGGGGTACAGCCAACAAAAGGTCGGGGTTACCTATTTTTCCAGTCTAAGAAAACTTGGTCTGGCAGGAGGGGTCTCTGGCACCGGGCTGGAGGCCCGTCTGGAGCCAGCGCCAGCAACAGGCGCTGGAGGAGGCCACACGGGCTGGCGGCAGCAGCTGCAGAGACAGCGAGGGGGTCAGACAACTGGTCAGAAAGAGACTACAGGAAATGCATGGCTGACAGTGGGGCAGTCGGTGCTGACTGGCAACTCTATTGCCCATACGCAGTTCTGGGTCTCAGTTCCAGGGCAGAGAGAGCACTGGCACTTGTGGCTATAGAGGACCATGGGCCCATCCTGGGTGAAGCACAGAGCGCAGACCAGGAAAGCAGTGATCACACCTCTCCCCGGATCACACCACCTTGGAAGCACCAAAGACTTCCTGGCCCCCCCAGAACTAGCTGCGTGACAAAACCTGAAGCTTGGGATAGTGACTTCTTACCCCCAGGTGAGAACAACCCAACTTTAACATGAAATTCAGTCAAGACATGAGCAACAACAACAATGACAGAGAACCTGACCATAAGAAACTACTATGGTGGCAGGGAAGACCAAGACAGAAATGCAAAAGAAGATAACAATGTGAAAACAGCTACACACAAAGCCTCAAAGAAAAATGCTAACTGAATCCAAGCCCAACAAGAATTCCTAGAACAACTAAGGAAAAAGATAAGAGTTATTAAGGAAAAATTGGGGAAAGAAATGAGAGTGATGCTAGAAAATTATGAAAAGAGGATTAACAGCTTGGTAAAAGAGGTGCACATATGCACACACACACACACACACACACACACACACACACACACACACACACAAAACGTTGAAGAAAATGCAGAATTGGCCAAATGGTAAAAGAGGCGCAAAAATCCATTGAAAAGAAGAGCTTAAAAAGAAGAATAGGCCAAATAGAAAAGGAGATACAAAAATTTGCTAAAGAAAAGAACTCCTTAAAAAGCAGAACTGATTAAATGGAAAAAGAGGTACAAAATCTCACTGAAGAAGATAGTTCCTTAAAAATCAGAATGGGAAAAGTGGAAGCTAATTACATCATGAGACAACGAGAAACAATAAAACAAAATCAAATGAATAAAAAAGCAGAAGAAAATGTGAAATATCTCATGGGAAAAACAACTTACCTGAAAAATAGATTGAGGAGAAACAATTTAAGAATTATTGGACTACCTGAAAGCTATAATCAAAAAAAGAGCCTAGAATTTCAAGGGATTATAGAGGAAAACTTCCCTGATATCTTGGATCCAGAGGGTAAAATAGAAATTAAAACAATCTACTTAAAAGAGATCTTAAAATGAAAACCCCCAGGAATATAACAGACAAATTCCAGAGCTCCCAGGTCAAGGACAAAATATTGCAAACAGCCAGAAAGAAACATTTCAAATACCATAGAGCCATAGTCAGGAAAACACAAGATTTAGCAGCTTCCACAGTAAAGGAATGGAGGGTATGAAATATGATATTCTGGAGGGCAAAGGAGCTAGGACTATATCCAAGAATCTCCTACCCAGCAAAACAGAGTATAATCCATCAGGGGGGAAAATGGACATTTAAAAGGCCAGAGACGAATAGAAAATTTGATATTCAAACACAAGACTCAAGAGAAGCATAAAAAGGTAAACAAGAAAGAGAAATCATAAGTTAAATTGTTTACATTCCTATATGGGAAGATGATACATGTAACTCAAGGGGGGGTAAGAAAGAGGGAGAGGTAGAATGGGGAAATTTTTCTCACATAAAAGCAGCGAGCAAAGAAGAACTTTTACAATGGAGGGGAAAATTGGGGGGTGGGGGGCAGATAATGCGTGGACCTCACTCTCACTGGAATTGGCTCAAAGAGGAAAGAATATATACACCCATATACTCAGTTGTGTACAGAAATGTAATTTACCAACAGGGAAACAGGAGGGGAAGGGAATAAGAGACAGGGAGGATGATGACAAAAGGGAGGACAGATTAAGGGAGGCTGTGGTTAGAAGAGAAATAGACTTTCGAGGAGGGACAGGAAAAATAAAAAAGAGAAAGGAAGAAATAGAAAAAAATAGGATGGAGGCAAACACACTGTTAGGAATCATGAATGTGAATGGGATGAGCTCACCCGTAAAATGGAAGCAGAGAGCAGATCAGATAAGAAGCCAGCAGCCAAGGAGGCGCCAGGATTGGGTCCTGAAGGCCATAGGGAGCCACTGCAGTTTACTGAGTGGGAGGTAACACAGTTGGACCTGCACTTTAGGAAAATCTCATTAGTGGCTGAACAGAGGATGGATTGGAGGAAGGAGACACTTGTGGCAGGCAGACCCCCCAACAGCTTTGCCGTAGTCCAGGCACAGGGTGGGGGCTGTGTCAAAGGAGAGAAGGGGGTATATTTGAGAAATTTTACAAAAGTAAAGTCAACGAGCCTTGGTGCCATATTAGATCAGGAGGTAAGAGATGATGAGTCCAGGATGACTCCTAAGGTGTGAGCCCGAGGGTCTGGGAGGAGGGGGTGGGGTCCCCTATAGTGATAGGGAAGGTAGGAAGGGGGAAGGTTCAGGAGGGAAGATAATGAGTTCTTTTCTGGACATATTGAGTTTAAGATGTCTACTGGACACCCAATTTGAGATGTATGAAAGGCAACTGGAGATGGGAGACTAGAGGTCAACAGAGATATTGGGGCAGGAAAAGTAGATTTGAGAATCTTTAGCTTAGAAATGGTAATTAAATCCATGGGAGCTGATGAGATCCCCAAGAGAAGTAGGATAGTGGGAGAAGAAAAGAGGGCCCAGGACAGAGCCTATGGTTAGGGGGGATGACCTGGAGGAGGATCCTGCAAAGGAAACAGAGAGGGAAGAGAAGAAGAACCAGGGGAGCCCGGTGTCCTAAAAACCAAGGAGTAGACAGTGTCAAGGAGGAGAAAGTTATCCACAGGGCCAATGGCTACAAAGAGGTCAAGGGGAATGAAGACATAGAAAAGGCCAGTGGATTTGAATGCTTGTTGACTTAACTTAAAAATTTTGCTCATGTATCTTTTGTATTTATGTTACCTCTGCTCCCAAATGTATCCCTCCCCTCACCTGTCATGCCCTAGAAAGCCATCCCCCCTAACAAAGTATAAAAAAGAGAAAAAAAAACAGTTCTGTGACCCTAACCAGCGTATCTGCTAAGCCTGGCAACGGACCCACAAACAAGGGGCCGCTTTCTCTCCTCTCTCTTGGGCCCAAGCTTGATCGTTACGGTTATAGAGCATTTTCCGCTCGTTTTGTGCACAGCTGATCTCATTTTCTCTAGGTCCATAAGTCTTGCCACACTTCTCTGCATTCATCATATTTAACATTTTTATGCATTACTATTCCATCACATTAATTTACTACAACTTGTTTGGTAACTCCTTACTTTGTGTCCAGTTCCCCCAAAAGCTGCTATAAATACAGGGCCTCCCTCTCTCTGCTTGACCTCCTTGACGTCCGTGTCAGTAGAGGGATGTCTGGTTCAAAGGGCATGGACGTTTTGGTCATCTTCTCAGCATGATTTCAAATCCCTTTCCAGAATGGCTGGACCAATTCCAATCTCGCATCTCTAATGGTCTTTCAGACATCTTGAACTGGACGTCCAGGAAAGGCCTTAAACACAACATGTCCAAAATGGAACTCATTCTCTTTCGCCCTAAACCCTCCCTGCTCCTACCCTGCCTGTCACTGTAGAGGGCAGCACCACCCACCCCATGTCTCAGGCTCCCAACCTAGGAGTCACGCTCAGCTCCTCCCTATTGCTCAACCTCCAAGGCCACCTGATGACAGCTCTGCGGCAGCTCTCAGACGTGCCCCCTTCCACAGCTCTGCCGCCACCTTCACCCCGGTGCAGACCCTCCTCATTGCCCGCCTAGACTATGGTGACGGCTGCTGGGAGGTCTGCCCATTTGCAGCTCCCCCCTCCACCGGCCCTGGTCCAGCCTCCATTCAGACACAAAAGAGATTTTTCCAAAAGCTTGGGTTGGCCCATGTCACGCTCCTTACCCCACCCACTCAGTAAAATCCAGCAGCTCCCTATGGCCTCCTCTGTTTGGCCGTCAAAGTCCTTCAAAACCGCCTCTCATCTGTCTGATCTTCTGGCACCCTCCTCGCCCCATCTACCCTGTAATCCAGCAACACCAGCTTCCTTCGTACAAGACTCCCTCTCTGGACTCCCTGCACTGTCTGCACCCAGGCCTGGAACGCTCATCTTCCTCCCCGCTGCCTGCTGGCTTCCATTGGCTCCTTCCAAGACAGCCTGAATACCACTTCTCACCGGACACCTTTCACAATCCCTGGAAACTACTTCCCATTTACTCTGCATAGATCCTGTTTGTAAGTAATTGTTCACACGTCTGAGCTCCTTGAGGGCAGGGACTGCTTGTGCCTTTCTCTGTATTGCCAGCGTTTAGCATGATGCCAGGCACATAGCAGGCACTGACTGGAGGCACATGGATTGACCAAGTGATGCCCCCGGCTGCTCACAATTCCCACACACTGACACGTACAGACCCATAGAAATACTACTGTTGCATATATGCTCAGAGCCCCCATGCAGACCTATAAATACATTATCTGTATCTACTTATCTATGATTCTATGTAAAACCATCCCCGGACCTGGTTTCCCCTTGAACAGAATGGAATCTCCCAGAAGGCAGGGAGTGTTTCCTTCGGTCTCTGTCCCCAGCACCCAGCACAGAGCCTGGCATGAGAGAATGTTCAACAGATGCTGGCTGGTCATTTTCCACCATCATCTCTGATTTTAAGGAAAGCTGGCCTCATTCAGCAATAACTCGGGGGGTCTCAAGGAGCTGGTTCTCAGCGACCTCTCTGGCCGTTACCTCCTTCCTCTCGGCCTCGGCCTGACCTCTGGCTTGTGCTGCAGCGGCCTCTCGGTACGAGCTGGCCTGCTTGGCCTGCTCAAACAGGGTCTTCAACTGCTGGGCCGTGCTCAGCAGAGAGTTGACCATCTCTTCCAGGCACAGCCAGCTCCGGTGCTCAGTCATCTCTAGCCCGTGGATCACGGCAGGCGATATGGCTTTGGTGGGGGTCGCAGGAGGGACCGCCAGAGCAGGCAAGGATGTCAGCACTGAAAACAGCAGAAGCAAAACAAACCACAGAGGAATTAATGAGATTCTCCACTCAAAACGCCCTCCGAGACAAATCAGTCTGACCCAGAAGAACTGAGTCTGCCCAAGGGAGATGTGCCACCACATGGAGTGCCGGGCACCCCCACGGGCAATGATACCATCCTCGGTAAGCAGCAGACCAGGGACCAAAGGGCTTGCAGGGGTCAGTCGTGACGACGGGGGAGCTGGCCCCTGCCGGCACCTATCAGGACGGCTCCTTCTCTTCCTGGCTGGCACCGTCAGCTGTTTGGGGAGGCTGGGACAGCATCTCTGCTTTGGGGCAGAACTTCTCCATTTCGTCAGACCCTCGGCACCAGGACAGGTCAGACGCCTGCCTGGGAGCCCCACAGGTCATTCAGTCACACCTGGGGAAAACCCCTGAACATCCCCATGACCCACAACCAGAAGAGTATCTCTAAGGAACCCTTGGATATTTCTGGATAGGGAAATGTTTTAGGGATATCAATATGGGGGCCCCATGCAGGACGGGTGGAGGAGGGGAGATCAGAGGCGAGGAGAGCAATCAGAAGGCCCTGCCATGGCCCAGCTCTGAGGGGCTGTAGAGGTCAGATCCACAAGACTGGACAACTGACTCAACGGGGGAAGGGGACAGCAAATCCCACTGTAAACACCCATGATCACTCAGTCAGTCACTTGGAGGCCGTGCACTGAGCTGAGCCAGGTGCCAGGGGCCTGCTACAAGGCACGATGATGCCCTCATGGGCAAGCTGTCAATCTTCTCATGTGAAATGAATGTGACTGCCACCAGGTGTTTACCAGCCCCGTGACAGTGGCAAGGCGCAGGATCTTGGTGACAAAGGTTATCTCTGAGAGCAGGAGAGGGGATGGGAGTGGGACACGGGCAACGGGTGAACTAGGCAGATGCAAGAGGCCAAACGGAGGCGAGAGGCACAGGAGAAAGGGGTCTGAAGGGGCATGGGTTCCCGCAGAGAAGGAGAAGACTGCCCTGTTGGACCCTTGCTGATGGACTCCTAGCCAAGATGGGAGCCTCCGGCCCAAACAGGGACACAGACTAGCCATTCTCATCTGTCCGAACAAGTCCAAGGACAAACCAGCAAGTGACCTCTTCTGCCCCAGAAGGGCCCAAGTCAGCCCCAAGGCCTCGGGCGGGCAATGGTAAAGCAGGCCTCCCCAGCCCCCCACCCCCACTCCTCTGCTACCCCAGCTCTAAGGGGGTGGGGGTGGGGAGCCCGGCCAGCCATCCGGATCCAGAGCTTTGAATCTCAGTAATCCAGGGGTGCCTGACACAGGAGGTGGAGAGCAGCACAGGGACCCTTCAGAGCCAGGGCAAAGGGCAAGGACATCCACTCCGCTCAAAAGCACAGCTTGGCCCTGGCACAAAACCCCAGTGCAATGAGTAAATCTAAGGAAAAAACCAACCAAGGTAAAAATTACTCTAGGTCTAGAGATTCCCCAAAAAGAGTCTCCATAAAGGCCACATGAAGGCATAGAAGTGAAGTGGGGGGGAGGGGAGGGGAGAGAGGAGGGAGAGGGGGGAAGGCTCTAGAATTGGAAGGAGAGCAAACGGCTTGGAAGAGAAAGTGCTAAGCCTTACTTACACTGTGGTCTGAATACTCAAACAGATATCAAGAAAGATTAAAACAAAATCAAAGGACTGAGAAAAATAGAAGACTCATGTCAAAAAATAACTGACTTGGAAATCAGGACTCACAGAGAACAGAAGCATGAGTGGGCTTTCTGAAGACTATGATTTTCTGAAAGCCTGGACGCTGTGTTTCTAGAAACAATAAGTGAAAACGTCCCAGATCAACTAGAAACACTGGGCAGAATAGAAAAAAAAAAAAACACTTCACCAATCACCTCCTGAAGGAACCCTCAAACGGAAGGTCCTAACTCGAACACAACACTCTCACACAAAAGAAAAGCTGCCGCTGCAGCCTCCAGAAAGAATCATTCAAATATCAAGTAACCACAGGACTTGGCAGCTTCTACCATTCCCAAGTGGAGATCATGGAATACAATATTCTGAAAGGCAAAAGATACAGGCTTACAACCGAGAAGAATGATCTGCTGAGGATTACCCAATGGGAGAAAAACGGCCTTTAAAGGCATGGAGGCCTGCATGAAAAGGCCAGGGTGAGTAAGAACTCTGAATACAAACACAAGATTCCAGAGAAACCTAGAAAGGGAATTTTAACTGAGCAGCTGGAAAGGGTTGTAAGATGATGCCCACGAACACTGCCACAGGGGAGAAGAAACACGCGTTCTGTCAGAACCTCCACATCTTCAAAGGGTACTGAGAAAGTTCAATGAGAAAGAGAGAGAGGTCTCCAAGGTGTTGGGTCTGTTTTAGGGGTTTTAGAAGGTACGAGAGAAAAGGGAGGAAGAAGGGGTGGAGGGAGCAGGCACCAAGCAAACCCTACTCTTACCTGAACCACACAAAGGAGGGCTGGATATACAGAGACACACAAGCAGCCTCATGTAGAAATGCCATCAAACAAAGGAGAGACAGGAGGAAACAGCCACAAGCAAAATAAATTTCCTGATGCTGAGAAGGGAGAGGATGGGGGGGTACAGGGAGGAAAATCAGAAATCTAGCATCTGGGGGGGCCCATCAAAGGGGACTTAGGGTACACTGGGAGAGATCCCAGCAGGCAATCAGCGATCAGGAGCCCAGAGCCAGATATGGGGAGTGATACAAGATTTAAAGGGCGGCCACGTTCCTGCCCCACGTACAAGAGGAATATACAGGGATGTCACCGTGCCACGAGAAACAGCAGACGAGATGATGTCTGAACTGACGAAGGGAGAAGGGAGAAGATTCTTTGGGACAGACTCAAGCACCTTCTCACCACCCCAGCCCAGCAGCTCCTGACCAGGAGGGGGAATGACTCAGGCACAGGGCAACATGGCTACTCTGCAGATTCATCTTGTTCAACTGTCTTCCTTCCAACGGTTTTTTAAATTCTCCCTCCCTCAATTTTTAATTGGAGGAAGGGGCCTGAGGGTCACCGAAACCTTTTTAAATGCCTAGGACAGAAAGAGTCCGAGGGAGCACAGACAAGCAGGACAGTTCTGAAAGCAATGTGTGGAATTATTACAAGTACTTTTTTTTTTTTTAAGATTCATGGTTTTACAGACAAGAAAAGGCTTTTATAGTGGAGGGGAAGTGGGGGAAGACGAGAGGGAATGAGTGAATCTTATTTTCATCGGATTTAGCTTAAGGAGGGAATCCCATACACACTCAATTGGGTATGGAAAGCTACCTTACCCTACAGGAAAATGGGGGGGAAGGGGATAAGGGCCAGGGGGATGATAGAGGGGAGGGCAGATTGGAGAAGGGGGTAATCAGAAGCAAACACTTCTAAGGAGGGATAGGGTCAAACGAGAGAATAGAATAAATAGGGAGTGGGATAGGATGAAGGGAAATATACTTAGTTTTCCATGGCATGACTACTATGGAAGTGTTTTGCATAACTACACATGTGTGAGTTGCTTACCTTCTCAATGAGGGTGGGTGGGGAGGGAGGGAGGAAGGGAGAAAATTTGGAATCCAAAGTTTTAAAAACAAATGTTAAAAAATTGTTTCATGTGCAACTGGGAAATAAGATACACAGGCAATGGGGTTTACAAATCTATCCTTCCCTACAGGAAAATAGAAGAGGAAGGGGATAAGAGAAGGAGGGGGAAGACAGAAGGGAGGGCACACTAGGGGAAAGGGTATTCAGAATGCAGCTGTCTTGGGGCAGAGGAGGGACAAGATGGGGAGAAAATCTGGAACTCAAAATCTTGTGGAAGTGAATGCTGAAAACTAAAAATAAATTAATTAATGAATCTTAAAAATAAAATAAAATAAATTTTCCAAAAAAAAAAAGATTCATGGTTTCAAATACAATCTTCTTGTGCTCTGCTATTTATATGGGAAATGCTTTTGAGCAAATTCAGACTAAAAATAAGGACCTGAACGTCAACGCCACGTCAGGAACCCCTGTGAGTAAGGCAAGAAGGGCAGAGTGGCACTCCAAGCCAAGGACTGGGTCACCCCTCCCTCTGTTGCTCCTGTGTAAGAGGAGGCGGTTGTGCACGGTAACAGCAACACTGTTCCATGAGGAACTGGGAATGACTCAGCTCTTCTCGGCAATCCATGATCAAGACAATCCCAAAGCACCGGTGAGAAGCTGACTTTGCCCTCCAGAGAGAGAACCAATGTTGTCTGAATACAGACTGAAGCTGCTATTTCCACTTTCTTTCATTTTTCTTTTAGTTGAGTCTTCCGAAACAAATGAAAGGCAGACCTGCATCTCCCCAGCCACCGATAAGAATGTAGCCCACACAAAGCAGGGCAAGGCAGGGGTGAGGGTGGGGGTCGGGGGTGTCTGTCCCAGGCCCTCTTCTCTCTCAGGGACCTCACGCGCTCCCATGGGATGAGGGTGACGCTGTCACAAGTAGTGCCTCCCATTCTCCCCAGACTTCCCTAATTCTGTTCTGTCCCCCATCAGTGGGGCTGCCTGCTGGGTGGCTGGGGGAGGCCCCCCCACTGACAACTCTGTCTGAGACTGACCCTTCACCTTCCCTAGCGGCCTGTCCCTCCTCTCCACTCCCACAGCCACTTTTTAAAAAAAGTAGTTTCATGGAGAATTTTTATCTTTCTACCACTCACAGGTCCCACTGTGTCCCTGCACATTCCTCCCTAAGAGGAAAACTACCCAGCAGGTCTGCCAAGCATGAGAGGATATGCAGCATTCTGCAGCCACAGGCCCCCACCTCTGCAGAGAAGGAACGTGAGAAAATTAGGTGAGACTAGATCTGTCCAATGCTTAGCCCAAGATGCCAAAGAGACCTTCCAAGGGAGCCAAATCAGAAGATTCATGTGAGCACCTTCCCCTGCGCTGCCACACACCTCACACAGCCTCGGCGAGCCCCCCACGGGCCGGATGAGCCCTCCTTCTGGACTGTTTCGGTCCTGTGATTGCTCTTTGCTGAAGCGACGATGACCCCGGGTGGCACTCAGCACGTCTGAGTCAGGACCACGCTATGACCCTGGGCTTCACTTGGTGCCATGCCCTTTCTGTCCACTTTGCCACAGCACCTGGCCCAGAAAGGGCTCACCCTTCCCCCATTGCTGGAGCGGAAGCCACCGCCCCCACCCCCCCGCCAGGGGGCACTGAGGCCTGGCTGGCACAACACCTGGCGATGCCAATCCAGCAGACTGCTGAAGCGCTCCCGTGCACCAGGTCCCGGGCTGAGACCATGCCGGTCACCCCTGGAGACTTTCAGCTGGCAGCTGGGGAGCAGCCCTTTCTCTTCTCATTTCTGACCATTTCCCTTCTCACTGGAGTGACCCATCTCTTCTCCCACCATGGGCTCTTGTTACCTGTCCCACTCAGATTCTGTGAAAAGGTGGCGAGCTGACAAGGTGGCCCTGGGTTCAAATGTGGCCTCAGACATCCCCTGGCTGTGGGACCCTGGGCAAGTCATTTGGCCTGTTTGCCTCAGTTACCTCAAGCCCACACTGAGGGCACTACCAGCACCTCTCTCCCAGGGCTGTTGAGAAGATCAGATGATATGCTATTGGCATAAATATTTACCCAGCACAGTGTCGGTAGCCAGTAGGTGCTTACTAAATGCTTGCTGCCTTCCTCTGTCATGGGGATGGGTGTGTATTCCCCAAGCCTGTGTCAGTGGAGTGGGGCCTTGGGACAGTCTGCTGTGTGTTGGCCCTAAGAAGACCTGGCTGTGTCGGGGAGGACCATCACTGGGGGAAGCCGCCATGGCCACCATTCAGGCTGCATGAGCAGGAGCAGCACCCACCCCTGTGACATCCTGCGCCTTTGCTAGCTTAAAAAGAAGAGTGCATATTCATGACCAGCAAACCTGCAAACCAGACCAGCACCTCAGAGACTCACACCTGCTGTGCCCACTCAGCATAACCCAACAGAAACCCCTCGGGGCAGAAGAGACATTAAACAGATGGTGACTGTGTCTCTGCTCGTCTCCCACCAACACAGATCAAATGAGCCGAGCCAATGGGCAGCAGCAGCCTCTGGGGCCACCTGGGTCCCCTCAGGGACTCAGTGTCCAAAGACACAAGGGACATCCCGAGGGACAATGGGTAACTTGGGGAGGGGCCCTGAAGAGCTGCACAGGTGAGGAGGGGGTCCTCCAGGGATGAAGAACCCACTGTGAGGGGGCAAAGACTCCTGCCGTGTGAGTGGATTGGCATCAGCACCACTGTGGTTGGGCAACTATGACATGCTGAGGCAGGAGGAAGGGCTTTAGGAGCCAAACAGGGAAGTTTGCCGTTGACCCCAGAGGCAGCTGGGAGGCTCTGGGGTCTGTGATGGGGAGAGCAGGAAGCTTTGCTTTTGATTACTAAGGGGAGGGTGGCTGGGAGAGGCAGGGAGACCCAGCAGCTGCTCTGGGAATGAAGAGAAGGGTGGAGGTAGGAGCAGCAGAAAGAAGGGATGATGTTGGGGGGGCTCCAATGCTCACCCGTCCCGTACGATACGCCACATGCTGGTGGACCACAGCAAACAGGGCTGCCCCTGAGAACCAGCCTGGCTATGGGTGTGAGAAGCCCAGGAGGAGACACCATTGAGCAGGCCCAGCATCTGATGCAGACACCAAGGCCCTTTCTATGCGCCCACAATGAAATCTCACAGCTCAAAAAGAATTCTAAGACTTCTAATATTTTTAACCTTTTCATATTGGTAAGTATGCCAACAAAAATTTAAAAAATAAAATCCCCATGGAAGGAAGACCATCTCCTCGCCTTTCTCTGGGCATTACTGTTTCACAGAGAAAACACAAATGCTGTCCCTTTCATCACAAACCTCACAGAGCCCTGGAAACTTACCGATTTTAGGGTGAGACGTAGGCAACGCAGCTTCTGGAAATGGTGAGATCGGGCAGTTGTCCTGATAGCTGGGATAATGAGGCTCTGGATGACCAACTCTGCAAGACGGCTGCACGTTGCTGTCTTGTACTGGTGGACAACAAGGGGGTTATCAGTCTCCATATTCTAAACCTGATACGACCTTAATCTATAAAAATAACCTGAGGACCGCATGTTATTGAACTCGGTCTTCTAAAGCAGATTCTCTGAGATAGTGGGGAAGGAAAGGGAGCGTTTAGATTGTATGAAAAAAACCCTCATTAACCTACAGGGTCTTCCTTTCTATCACTGATGTCCATCACGGATGGGGCCAGTAGGGGATCAAGGGATCGACGGGTCTGACCGCTGCAGCCCGTGGTCCCCCGAGCCCATCCACTTGGGCCAGTCTGGCGTTCCCCTCCTCACAGCCCGTGGCTTCTGTCCTCCACCATCTTCCCAGATGAGCAAGGCTCCTGGCTTCACACCTTCGCATCCAGCTTCTTCACATGTCTGACATCAGACTAAACGCCGACCTCTCTCTTCTCATTACATTCTACGGATTCTGTTTGTGCCTTTTAGCTGTGTGCAGTGTCCTGCTCGTTCTGTCTTCTGATGACGTCAATGCTTGGTTTGGGGTACGCAGCCTCCCTGAGCTGTTCTGGGGACTTCCCTGACACACGGATGATGGGCCAACCCTGCACACTCCCTGAAGAGCACATCTTCTCTCACGCAAGAGGGGCATCTTCCTGAGTGCTGCTGCCTTCCCAAGGACTGACCTCCTCGCTAGCTATGAAGCAGTGTCCAAGAGGCGGGCCGATTCCTTCAGTCAATGCAGCTGGAAGTCTGCGGACACTCTGCCCCTTCAGTCTGGCATCTTGCTCGTGATTTCTCTTGTACTGATTCTGCTAATGGGTCGAATTCTGTAAAAACTGCTCCTTGGCATGTTAGTGTGAGAGGGCCCTAAGGCTACTGGTTAGTTTGGGTGGTGTGGTCATCCTTCTTGGGTTCAAGTTCAGGGAGCTGCTGAAGTCCTTTCCATCTCCCAAATTCTGCAATTCTATGATACTGGCTCAGCCCAACCATGAACAGTGACTATCTCTCCAATTACATGTAATTCTCCTTTTATTTCTGTAAAAAGTGCTATCATTTTATTTATTGAGGCCATGTATCTTGGTCAGTTAGCTCCTGATTACGCATTTTATAATTGTTTTGAATGCAACTGCTCTATTACCTCCTGGTTTTGTGTTAGTACTGTATAGAAATGTTGATTGCCATGGATTTCTTTTTCATTGTTACCTCACTGAAGCTTTTGGCCATCTGAATTAATTTCCTCATTGATTCTCTGGAGTTGTCTAAGCATTATTTCATATCGCTTCTATTTTCTCTTGTCATTACTATAGCTATTATTTCTAAAATTGCATTAAATAACGCCTAATAAATGAGCGGCAGCATACGGGGACAGCTAGGTGGCACAGTGGATATAGCGCCGAGCCTAGAGTCAGGAAGATCTGAGTTCAAATCCATCTCAGACAACTGTCAGTTGTGTGACCCTGGACAAGACACTTAACCTCTGTATTCTTCAGCTTCCTCATCTGAAAAACGAGGATGATAACCTCCTAGGATTATTGTGAGGATCAAAGGAGAGAATGACTGTAAAGCACTTAGCATAGTACCTGGCATAATATAAATGTTGGCTATTACTATTGTTACTATTTTTCTTTATACTGTAACAGCAAAACTGCTCAACTTGGAGTCAACGGACCAGAGCTAAAATCTGGGTTTTGCCACTTCAAAGCCGCACGACCTCAACCAAGTCCCTTAGCTTTCAAGTCCTCTATTTCTTTGTCTATAAAAAGAGGAAGTGGGACTAGATATCTTCTAAGGCCTCTTCCAACTCTCGATCCGATTCAATGATCCTAATGTTGGGGAAAGATGATGTTTGTTTGACTCCTCTACCTATGGCAAAGCAGTGTTTCTCTATTACAAATAACATTCATCTTGGTTTTAGTGAGCTATTTAATATTAATACTAAATAATACGAAACCTTAGCCCTTCTATGCCTAAGGCTTTTTTTAATTTTTAACATAAATGGCTGATACAGTCTTTTATCAAAATTTGTTTCTTCATTTATAGTCATGTGATTTCTACGGCTTATATGATGAATTATGTTAACTTCTTCCTGAATGTTGAGCCTTTCTTACTTCCCTAACACAGATCCAACTTTATCACAGTAAATAATTTTGGGAATATAGTGTCTTAGCTAAGATTTTATTTAAAGTGTTCCATCAATATTCATTAATGAGACCTCTTTCTATGGTTCATCCCTTGCAGGTTTGGGTGTCACTACCATATTCATCTCATAAAAGCAGTTTGGCAGAGTGCTTCCTTTCTCAATTACTGAGAATCACTGTAATTTAAATATACATTGCTCTTTAAATGACCTCTTAACAAAATCCAATGACTTTTTCTCGTTTTTCATTCCACTTCACCTCACTACAACTCGTGGCAACGGTGACCATCCCTTCCTCCTGGACATTTTTCTCTTGGCTTCTGTGACACTGCACTTTCCCAGCTCTTCCACCTGATTTGACTCCACTTCCTGCATTTCCTATTCTTCGGACAAACAGACCTGCTTCCTGACCCCCATATTCCATCTCCTATCTCTGACAGGCTGGAAAGCCCTGTGCCTGCTGGGAATCAGGGAGTCCCTCAAAGCTCGGCTGTGATGCTCCCTTCCCAGTCCCTAGAGCTGTGTGTATTCTCTCCCTGCTGAACTACCTTGTAGTGATTTACTGGGGTACAGACCACATTGCCCCACCCAAGTAGACTATAAACGCCTTCCATCCCCAGTGCATTACCGCCGACTACAGGAGGTGCTTTATTAAAAACTAGGTAAGGAATGAACAGAAAATAGACACGAAAGCATTGATTTCTCCATACTAAATGGGGCAAGGTTGATCCTTCCAGATAGATGTCATTTTTCTAACACCACAGCTCCCCTAATTCTGATCAAGTATTGCCATATAGTCATTCATAGGGCCTACGGTCTTGCCTAATAAGGATTACTCCTTAGAAGTGGGCTAAATAAGTGTCCTGATAGACACTTGCTCAATACCAAGACAATGCTGAGCTCAGACAAATTACCAGTTGCTCCAGTGAAGACGTCCCCCTGGGTCGGACTTTCTGAGATGATAGCTGTGGCCTCCACAGTTGATGCCCGGTCAAAGGTCAGGGCGCCAGAGGTAGTGAGCTGTCCAGAAGGAGTCACGGTAACTGGGAAGATCAGAAGCATCTTTACTGTCACTGGTGCTCAGAGCAAGGCCCTGCTCCCCATCATTAGTGGGTACCCCCAAACCATCAGCACTTCGATAAACAGAGATAAGGGAAATGATTCTGGCCGACACAGAGGAAGAGAAGGAAACCCTGGCTGCAGTGAAAGTGTCAGCCTCCCCCAGAGGCTGAGCTGGCCCTTGGGACCCAGGGGGACATCTGACCGCTAGCTGGGACCCGCCCAGCCCTCTTCCCCAGGGGGCTCCTCTCTTGGTTTGTCTCTGTAGGAGAAGAGCATGCCAGAGGCTTTGTGACAGGGCTCTGCAGCTGGGAGTGGTGGTCAAGCGCTCCGGCCAACAGGGAAAAGGGCGCTCCTGGACCCTGAGGACTTACAGGTCGTGGTGGCTGTGGCTGGAAGCAAGGGGATGTTCTTGGAGGAATCCTTCTTCACAGGGGTCGCTGGCATCTCGCTTTCCTTCTTTCGCCTCTTGTAGGGGACGAACAATCTGACCGGGCCACTCTGGGGAAAGGGAAAATCAACTCTAAGAAGACCGGTTTTTTGGGGGGTGGGCCTCCCAGAAGGTGCATGAACATCATGACTCCTCCGTGTGGCAAGTTTTGTTACCCCCATTTCAGAGAGGGCAAAACTGAGACTCCAGAGAGGTCGAGGGATTTGCCCAAGGTCACTGTGAGACGTGTCAAAGACAGGGGAAGGGAGAAACCCCAGAATCTCCAGTGGACAGAGCAGAGCACCCCCAGGCTTTGGTCGCGGGGATGCTCTCCATGGGACCGAGGAGGGCCCGGCCAGCCGTCATATGGCTTACACAGAGTTTTCGGTGCCACCAGTGCTCCAGGGAGGTGACAGCCTAGACAGCCACATCCCGGCGAGACCGAGAGCCCTCCTCACTGCTGCCTGCCTCCACCCCTCCCTAGGACAGCTGGCTCCATGGTCCTGATGCTGCCCATCTCGCCAACCCCTTGCCTCCCTAAGAGGAACATGACAGGTCATGTTGGACAGCGACTATCCTCTGGGGCCCTGCCCTGAGTTCTGGGGGGGGGAGGGTCACTGAGGTCCGGCAAGCCCTTGTAGCGTACAGAGCGAGCCTCGTTCTCCAAGTCTTTGTGATGAGGGATGGCCTGTGGAAGGGGTGAGGGAGCAAAAACGCCCTTCCCCTTCAAGAAAGGAAACACTGGGCGGGCACCAGCCATCGCTGCCCAGTCTGGCGTGGGCAGCCTCTGGGGACAGCATGGAATGGCTTCTGCCACCTGGTTAGGGGCCCCCAGGACAAGCGGCAGGCAGGGCTATTCCTCCAGGAATGGCTGCAGACTTACCAAGGTCATGTCATCACAGCAGGCGGCACACGTGCAAGAGGCGGCGTGAGGGTTCAGGATGCCATCCTGCAGGGGGAGAACATTGACCCAGGGTGAGGCCCAGCCAGGTCACTCAGTCACAGGCGGGGCCCCAGGAGGCACCTCTGCACAGGCAGTTCCCTGCATCAAGTTCTGGGCCACAGAAAAAGAACAGTCCCCGCCTGCCCTTCAGGAGGTACCTTTCTGGGCCCCGTCCACATACAGCCACCCCTGGGCTGCCGGGACTCTGCCCAGGGACAGAGTCAGGGGAGGCAGGGCATGAGGGAAAGCACGCCAGGCCCAGAGGTGGGAAACAGGGCAGCCAGCAGGCTAGGTTGGCAGAGATGGGGACAAGGGATTTGACTGAGCTTCCTAAAGAGGCAGGGAAGAACCTCGGCCAGCTCTCAGGGACAGCCAAGAACTCCCAAAGACAAGGCGAGAGGAGACGCTCCACAGAGGCAGGAGAGGAGGAGACCCCAAATTCTGAAAGGCTTTAATGGCCAAGATAAGAAATCCACACATGTCCTTAAAGGGACAATCAAGGATCTGGTAGTGCCCAAGAAGAGGCACAGGTGGGCAGAGAGGAGAACAGGGGTCATTCAGAAGGCTCCTACTGTGTACGCAAAGCATGAGGCCAGGGGCAGGGAACAGGCTTAGAGGAAAAGGGGGTTGGGGTGCCGATGACAGGGGAGTGGGTCAGACGGGTAGGAGACAGGATGGGGGAGGTGGACATGAAAACAGGAGGGGGTGCTGAGAAGGGAGAGGTGTGGTTAGAGGGGAATGGAATAAAGAGGGAGGTGGGAGGCAGGGGCAGGGATGGGGAACAGGGTCAGGGGGGCAGTGATGTTGGGAAAGGGGGTCAGAAGGGGAGGGCACAGTGATGCTGGGGGAGGGAGTGAGAGAGGGAGGGGGCAGCAATGTTGGGGGAGGGGGTTAAAGGGGCAGGGGAAGTGATTTTGGGGAAGGGGGTCAGAAGGGGAGGGTGCAATGATGTTGGGGGAGGGGGTCTGAAAGAGAGGGGGCAATGATGTTGGGAGAGGGGGTCAGAAGGAGAGGGGGCAATGATGTTGGGGGAGGGGGTCAGAGGGGAAGGGAGCAGAGGGCAGGAGGGAAGCTTAAGGAGTGAAGGGAAGACTCAAGCAGAAGCTTCTCCCCGAGTTTGGAGGAAGTCCCAGTGTGCTTCGCCCCTCCCTTGGCCCTCCTCCCTCAGAGCCCAAACTCAGTGACCTCTGCTTAGCACCCTTCTAGGGGTTTCTGTAGCTTCTGCCAGCGCAGATGGTGCCCCTGGCATGAAGAAACAAAGGCCAACAGCGGTGGGACAGCCCGGCTTCACAGCCAGGGAGCATCCGAGGCCACGCTCCACCCCAGAGCCCTCCTGAAGCTGCCTCAGTGGATGGCACTATGCCCCGGCCCTGCTCTCTGAGAAGTACCCAGGGGTCCACAGCATGAGGGGCCCAGCAGGGCGAGGCCAGATCCTCCAGGGGTCGCCTACTACCCAGTCAGTGAGGATGCTTCTTCCCAGGCACAGGGGAAGGTCACGTCACCTCCTCCATGATGCTTTTCCTGTCCCCATCCCCACTCCCAAGTCAGCCTGCATCTCTCTGGTACCTATGGCCTCAAGCTCGCCAGAGGCTGGCCCACTTCACCCAGCTCATTGACTCTGTCCTACTCCACTCCACTCTCCTGAGGCAAGGGCAAGGCTACATGAGGCCCACTCCCCTTGCTCCACCCTGCATCCTCCAGGTCACTGCCCAAGGAAGCAGGAAGCAGACCTGAGGGAGGGCTCCAGAGCAGCGCCCCAGGAATCTGGGCTGTCAAGGACTGGGACCAAGGTAGAGGGGGAAGAACAGACCCCCTGGGGGATGGGAGTGGGAGACGGTCAGCACTGGCTGATATCTTTCACAAATAAGGGAAGGGAACACAGGGCTGACCCCTCCTTCCAACGGGGCCCTGACCCTCAAGGACCTGTCCAGTCCCTAACGACGGCACGAGACCTCTAGCCTCCGGACCTCAAGGCCCCCGGTCAGTGCACCTGCCGCCACACGCGGCCCCAAGAATGCAGAGAAAGCCCAGCGTCACCTGAATGAGGCACTGCAGTGGCCGCCCAGCATAGCGGATGCTCCTCTTCCAGTCCTTGCTGCTGGCCCTGCCTGCCATGGCTTCAAACTCCGTGGGGCTGTACCAGTTCTCGCCCTGTTTAATGCAGCGGCCGCGCCCACCTACAAGGCAAAGGGATGTCAGCCCTTCCCCCAGCTGATGGAGGCAGGCGCCCCAGAGGACACACATCAGGGAGGAGTCGGGGCTTCTCTGCTGTGTCCGTCCTTCTGGGGGCGGCCTGGACCTGAAGGGATTGGATTTCCACCATCAGAGGGGTGGGAGGTGACAGGCAGAAATATGAGGCCAAAACCCCTCTTGGAGGCTGGGCCTGTAGTGGGGCTCCCCACAAGGGCAGAAATAACGCCATTCCTTAGAGAGCAGTGGCTGGACTCCAGAACAGCCACCCATCCACACCACACACACCCAGCTGGCTGCCCACCCTCGCTCCCACGTGTACACGTACGCACACATGCATGCGCACTCTCACACACCCACATGTACATGCACATATACCAACATACCCACATACACATGCGCGCACGCACACACACACACACACGTGCTCACATGTGTGCATACACCTACAGGCACACATATTCCATACACGCACATGTGCTCACACACATGTATGTGCGTGCACGTCCACACACTGGTACGCTCACACACATGTACATGCATACACACTCACACGTCCACACACACTCACATGCTCACGCATAGCTGCGCACACACACATACATGTGCTCATACCCAGATGCACACAATCACACATGTATTCACACAAAGCTCCACACATACACACCTCCACACACACAGCCACACACACATGCATGTGTATACATGTATACACAATCACACACAACCCCACATAACAGCCCCATACATGCTCACACACACCACACACATGCATGCACATACGCACACGCGCGCACACACACACACACGCACACACACGTATACACCCCTGATGCACTGAGCAGGATGGGGGGGGGGTCCACACAACACAGCCCCACTAGTATCTACCTCCTGGTCTCTTCTCTTGACCTAGAAGAGTTGGCCTTTTAGTGGCCTGCAGGGCTTTTCAAAACCCTCAGCGATCCTCCTTTCCTAAGAGCAGGAAAGCCACCCAGGGCATGGCCCGGGCATGGGGGTCACCGGCACCAGGCAGCCCCCTCAGCTGAGGCTCAGCAGCCAGTCCCAATGCACAGTCACAGAATTCCTGCACAGGCTTCAACGTGGAGCACGTCACATCCCCCTCCACCCCGGCTCACCTGGGGCCCCCCTTCCCCACACGAGAGAGATACAGGGTGGACAGGAGGCATAAGCAATGGTGGGGCCCAGGAAAGGGCTCCCGCAAGAAGGGAGCGCTGCAAGTATAAGGCCCGGAGACACCCCCCTCCCTGCCAACCAATGAAGCAGCCAGGTGGCCATGTGGAGGGGAAAGAAGGGGAAGATGCCTAGAAGGAGAAGAAGGGGCCAGCCTGGGAGAGGCCTTGAAGGTCCAACACAGAGGCTGCTGTTTGATCCCGGAGGACCTTACTGAAGGGGCTGTGATGAGGTTGCTGAGGGATGACAGACTGGAGAGGGGAGAGGCCTGAGCCAGGCAGACCCCCCAGCACAGCAGGCCAACTGAGAGTCCAAGAGCTGGGCAAAAGGTGTCAGAAAGGAAGAAACAAGTCTTGATGACTGACTGGACATGGCATGAGACAGAGAAGCCAGGGGTGACTCCTAGGCTGGGAGCATGGGAGGGGCTCCCACATGGTAACGGAACTCAAAGGGAAAGAACGTGAGTCCGGCTTCAGATGGGCTGGATTTGAGATGAGAGGTCTGTGGGTGATGCAGGGTGAGGGGTCTGAGAGCCAGTCAGGAGAGAGCTTAGGGCTGGAGAAACAGATATGAGAATCACCCTTTAACTGAAGGGGCAGGGACCAGAGCAGAGGCCCAGGACAGGCCCCTGTGGTCAGAGGGTGTGGCCTGAAGACAGAGAAGGGGTGGTCCAAGGGAGGAGGAGGGCCATGGGAGGCACAGGCTGAGCAGCCTGGCTCAGGCTACCCCGATACCCTGCCCCTTACCTGCCCACCATGCCTCACTCACACCCCGGGATTGCCATGCCCTGGCTCTTGCCATCACTCCCCCAGTGCTCTGCCGCCTGGCAAGTCTGGCCCTGTCTGAGCGCTCTCATGTGCCCTGGCTACACTCTCCTCCCTTCTCCAGCTCAACCCATGGGTCAGCTTGGCTTGACATCCTGTCCCACTCCTTGCCCCCGTTAGCCGAGCTGGAGGAAGTCCCTCCAGATCTGGGTCATCTGAGCTCTATCAAGGTATCCCTGGGCACCACAAGAGCTTCTCCCTTCCCCAGCCTCTCAACCGTGGACATACCCATTCTTCACTAAAAAAAAACCAAGGCCCTTTCATGAAAGCTGAGCTCCCTCTTCTCTCTCCATCAGCCTGGTCTCAGGGGCCAAGCAAGCTCACGTCCCCTTCCTCCTGGCTCTCCCACTTTTAAAAGTCCCTTCTTAGCTGCTGGCATCCCTTTCCCCAACTAAGCTGCTAATTCTTGTTACCCATTCCCTCTGACTCTCTTTCCCCCTCTTCTCCATCTCACCCTCGGCGGCTCAGCTCGGCTCAGCTCAGCATCCTATCCCCAGCCAAACCCCAACCCTCAACCACAAGGGTCTGAACTAAGTGGCAGCCCTATGTGAGTAGACAGGACGTTGAGGAGAGTCCTGGCCAGATTTGCTAAGCCAGTGAACCTGGGGCTGGGCGGTGGAAAGAGCACGTGAGGCCTCGAGGATGGCAGGATGGCACCAGGGCCCTCGATGGAAAAGGGGCCCCCTGGAGTGAGGAATCTGGGGAGCACTGGTACGAGTTTCATGTTGAGGGGCCTACAAGCCAGCCAGGTGCAGCCAGGGGTTCAAGAGACAGAGGGAGGAAAGGGTCTTACAAGGTACCCACGGGCAGCAGACCCGGCCTAGGAGCGGGTACCTGGGGGAGAAGTAAAAGAAGCTTTCTAAAGACAGGGAGCCCGGGTAGGGGACCAGTGAAATAGCGGCTACCAGGCCGCGACAGTCCAGGACACCTCAGGAGCAGCAGACCCTGCAAACAGGCCCAAAGCCTGGGCCCTCCCATCCCCACTGACCACTGTTCTCACCTCCAGCCAACCCCCGGGAAGCAAGGTTTGGCAATGGCCTCTGGGGGTGCTAGCGACCCCCAGAAAAAGTTCTTAACCCCAAATCTCGGGACCCGTAACGGCAACCATAGAGGTGGCAACTATGGGAAAGAGGCCTGGCTGATTGCTCCACTGCTGGGCCCAGGAGGACCCAGGGCTCTCTCCCCCCAGTGCCTGGCACAAGGTGTGGCACAGAGTATGACTCCACAAAGACAGGAGCACCTACTGTGTGCAGCCCTGGGCTGGGTGCAGAGGGCACAGCAGGAGGGGAGGACTTCAGCGGGGGCGGGATCTCTGTCCCAGCTGGCGCAGGGGAAGAGGAGCTTTACTGTGCTGCAGTAAAGTAAGAAGCAAGAAGAAAAGGGGGTCCTGGGGGAAAGTGTGGACAAGCAACTTAGGAGAGCTGGAGAGACAGCTGGCCAGAGAAGCACCAAAGTGGGGCCTGGACAGGGAGGGCCCTGCTGCGACTGGAGGAGGCTGGGGAGAGGGGGGAGGGGAGGCAAGAGGGGTGAGGGAGCGGGGGGGCAGGAGAGAGGGAAAGGGGAGACAAGAGGGGGGGGGCAGGAGAGAGGGGAAGGAGAGACAAGAGCGGGGCAGGAGGGAAGGAAGGGCAGACAAGAGGGGGCAGGAATGGAGGAAGGGGGGCAGGAGGAGAAGAAAAGGGGGGAGGGGAGGGAAGAGGGGGAGGGCGCAGGGGAGAGGGAAAGGGGAGAGAAGGGGGGCAAGAGAGAGGGGAAGGGGAGACAAGGGGGGCAGGAGGGAAGGAAAAGGGGGGCAGGAGAGAGGGGAAGGGGAGACAAGGGGGGTACAGGAGATGGGGGAGGGGGGCAGTTTTGAAAGAAAAGATTCTTAGCATTCTGGATACATGGGCGATGGTGGAATCAAGGCTGTGACTACCCCTGTAAGGACCCCCCCATGCCTGAGGCAGATTCAAGGTGAAGAGGAAGCTGAGGAGCTGGAAAGCCGGCTCATTCAGGGCACACTGACACGGACCCTAAGGGCCCCGGACGTGAGAGTAGACTAAGGTGTAAAATAGGCAATGACTCCCCTAAGGTCACTCTGCACAGGGCCGGAGGCACAGGGTGTGGCAGAGGAGAGGCTGCTGGGCAATGGGGAACATCGATCCACATTCCCTACCTGAGCCCAGGCGGTTCTTATGCAGAGTCCCACTGAGGTTCCGGCAGCGCACGGGAAGCTCACTGTCGTACGCAGATGGGTCCCAGTTATACTTTGTGCCCCCTTTGTCCTGGACAGCAGCTAGCGGAGTCGGAGAAGACTGAGGCCCTTGGGACAAAGAAGGCATCCAAAACTGAACAAAGAGTGGAGAGCGAGGCCAGCGTCCCGTCCCGCCTGTGGTCAGCCGAAGCCGAGGCCGGACTAGGCCGCCGGGCCCAAGCCTGTCCGCTCGTCAGGGGCATCGTGCAGCCGCAGCTGCCCAACTCTGCTCCCCTCATCCAGGCCGCCAGCTTGCTCTCAGGGCTCCCTTCCTACCAAAGCTCTCTTCTGAGCCTCCCCCTGCCCTGCCCTCACACTGCTTCCTCTTTACCCACATGCATTCAGGCTGTTGGCCCCAGCAGAATACATGTCCAGGAGCTCAGGCCTTTCATTTTAGTCCAGCGCAGTGCATGCTACAGAGCAGGGACTGAATAGACGCTTACAAAATTGATTACGCTAATCATCTAGGGGGATTTTCCATTCAGAACTGAACAGCCCACGAGTTTATTGCTGGGGCGCTCCGACCTTGCAAAGCAAGGAGCAACAGACCAAGCTGAGGCAGCGTGTCTCTGACAGCAGGCCTCAGCCGCTGTGCCCTACCTGGGGGGGGGGGGCCACCACATCCTACCTGGGGGGGGGGGGCACCGCATCCTACGGGGGGCACTGCATCCTACATGGGGGCACCGTATCCTACGGGGGGCACACACTGCATCCTACATGGGGGGGCACCACATCCTACCTGGGGGAAGGGCACTGCATCCTACTGGGGGAGAGGGGCACTGCATCCTACCTGGGGGGGAGGGGCACCGCATCCTACCTGGGGGGAGGGGCACCGCATCCTACATGGGGGGGCACCACATCCTACGGGGGGGGGCACCGCATCCTACCTGGGGGGAGGGGGCACCGGTATCCTACATGGGGGGGGCACCACATCCTACGGGGGGGCACTGCATCCTACCTGGGGGAGGGCACCGCATCTTACCTGGGGGGAGGGGGGCACTGCATCCTACTGGGTGAGGGGGGGCACCGCATCCTACCTGGGGGGAGGGGGGCCACTGCATCCTACCTGGGGGGAGGGGGAGCACCGTATCCTACCAGGGGGGAGGGGGGCACTGCATCCTACTTGGGGCGAGGGGGGGCACCGTATCCTACCGGGGGGAGGGGCACTGCATCCTACCTGGGGGGAGGGGCACCACATCCTACATGGGGGGGCACCTCATCCTACTTGGGGGGGGACCGCATCCTACTTGGGGGGAGGGGGGCACCGCATCCTACCTGGGGGGAGGGGGGCACTGCATCCTACCTGGGGGGAAGGGGGCACTCCATCCTACTTGGGGTGAGGGGGGCACCGCATCCTACCTGGAGGAAGAGGCGCAGGGGGTGCCTTCAGGCCGGTGGTCTCCACGATGCTGCCATCTGTGTGGACAACGATCAGGGTGGCCTTCTCTGTACTCAGGCCATCTCCAAGTTGAAGGGCTGCTCTTCCAGACTACAGGTCAGAGACAGGCCAGAGAAGCAGCCCCTGAGTGCCTCCCTATGGCACAGGCATTCAGCTAAAGCTGCTGAACCCCGGGAGGCCAAGAGGTCACTCCAGAAGTGTGTGGCAGAGGCCAAGCCCACAAAACCTGAATTTCCATTTTAGGAGCAGGCTGACTTTCTCTCTTCTCCTGTGGACACCTACAATAGCTGGCTGACTCGGCTCTCTCCTACCCAGTTCACTCTCTCCACAGCTGCCCAAGGGATACTCTGGGCCAGGTGGGGAGAACCTGCAGCCTGGAGGCCACACGTGGCCTCCTCAGTCCTTGGGTGCGGCCTTTCATGAAGGGAATTCGTCCTGTGAAGTTCGGATTCAGTCAAAGGACCACCCTTAAGGACCTAGAGGGCCACATGTGGCCTAGAGGTCGCAGGTTCCCCACCGCAGCTCTGGGCTCTCCAGCTCAAGAAGCTTCAGGAGTTCCTGTTACCAAAGGATTGTTTGGCCCTGAAAGGCCCGGGCCCACACTTTGTGCTCCAGCCAAACTGTTGCTCCTGCTATATTCTCTGAACAACCCGCCGGCTCCCAGCCTCAAGCATTTCCATCAGCTTTCCCTCCTTGTCCCCCTTGGAATCCTGGGCTCAAGGCCTAGTTCCAGGACAGACGCCTACTTGGAAGGCCCTGCTGGCACCCCCAGGCCTCAGCTTTCGTCTCCCTCCCCAAGTTACTCTGTAAATACCATAGTTTCGGTCCCTTAGAAAGTCAGTCAGTCCATCAGTGGCTAAACGCTGATTAAGAGCCTTCTGTACGCCAGGCCCAGTCCCTGACCTCAAGGAGCTCCCAGGCTAATGACACAAAGAAGAGCGGTCAACCATGGTCAAGACAAGAGGAGACATTAAAGAAGAGAAGGCAGTCCTAAGACTGTTGGGCCCCATGCAACTAAGCTGCAGCCCTCCCAGGGTGGAGCAGAGGCTGCCCACTGGGGCGTCCAGTGAGTGTGGCCAGAGGGAGAGAGCCCCCAGAGCAGTCACTGCAGGCACACTCTATAGTCAGCTAGAAACAGGATCTTAAGAGAATCCTGAATGATACGGAAGTTAATCTTTACAGTTTTCTTTGCTGCTTTCCCAGAAAAGTTCCAAAAATTCACACTTTAAAAAAGTTTTTAGAAATCTTGTTTTTTGGCCTAATCCTGTGACCTGTGCTCTGAAGCATTCCCAGTATGGAAACTCCCTCCCTCTCCCCTCCCACTCCTCCCTCTCTGGCAATCAGAGATGTCCAGAGCACACTCCAGGTCACAGTGGGAAGAGGGCAGGGATGGCTCTCTGGCCAGTACAGCTGGCTGCCCCTAAGACGCTAACTGCTCTAACTCAGAGAAGACAACCTTCCCACTGCAGATGGGATGACTTTCCACAGAGCTGCAGCTCACAGGCCCCATGCACATGTGCTCAGTCGATGCTGTCCATGTTCTCGAGTGCATAGGCATGGGGTGGGGGACATAAGCCAGAGGCCTAAGAGAGCTGCCCAGACCATAGGGCCCAGTCCCCCTCTGCACATATACAGCGCTCAGCTATGATCATGCTCCCCCTAACTGGCCCCACATGGTACCCAGCCCTATCAAGCTTAAGATGAAGATTCGGAGCAGGCTGTAACTCAGCCAATATTTAATTTTCCCAAGACACATCCTCTATGTCCCAGCCCATCTGCCATCCCTCTCCACATAGATGCCATCAGCCTTTGGCCTTGATGACTCATTTCAGCAGTGATTGTTGCAACACCAAAGTGTTTGCCTTGGGGAAGGCTCAAGCCACTTGACTTGAGTCCTAGACCTTCTAACCTAGCAGAATGACCACTCACTGCTCTCCCCAAAGCACCAGCCACATCCTGAGGGCAAAGTAAAGGTCCACGTGGAGGGCTTCCAACACATGCACTCACACACATCCACACACGGCATCCAGATGCATCTCAAACCAAGCCACGTGAAGCTCTGTCCTAGATTTGGGCCCTGTGGATGGTGAACCCCGAAGTTCAGAGGACAATCTTTGTAGTCCTAGGAAAGTCGCTTACCAGCACGTGCCCAGAGAGAGACGCAGCACTGGCCACAGAGGTGGTGAAGACGTTGTCCGCAGAAGATTCCACATTGGCCACAGTCACCGTGGTCACTTCTGAAACAAAGAATGTGCTCCTTTGAATCTCTGTGACTACCAGAAAAACACTCCAGTAAAGTGATGAAAACAGCCCTCCCTTAGGAAACTCCAACTGTTCACAGAAGGCTCTGTTGCTCTTTGGGGGGTATACAGAACAGGGGTCAGCTTGTCAGCTTATCAGAGACACTTGAGACAGTCTGGCTCTGAGCCAGACTGACAAGTTTGCCTCGTCAGTAAGACAGGAGGGTTACCTTCTCACTCAAGACTGCTTGGAACTTCCGCAGTCATAGGCTGAAGCTGTGGCTTCAGACATGTCCCTGCTCCTACCTGGGCCTGCTGAGTCTAAGAAGGTAGGCTACAGACTCTGGGCCTTCTCGGTGGTTCAGCACAAGGCCAGTCAGCTAGGCCGACCAGAACAGCCACCCTTGTAGCTCAGAATAAAAGTCCAGCAAAACAGCCACAAGAAATACAACTTTAACACATTGTACAGAAAAAAACCACAGCCACCTGGGAGCTCAGGACACTTGTCTGATGTCCTGATGACATCCCGCTTCCTTCCTCCATTTAGAAAACCACTGGCAGAAGGGGACAAACACCCCAATGAAAGGTAGGTCCTCCTCCTTCCCACGTCCCCTCCCCATGGGTAAGTGACTGCCAAAGCTACAGAGGGAGAAGCTTCTCTTGGGAAGGGCCCTTTAAGCCCATCAGTGACAAAACTTGATCTCCTAAAAGCAGGATTTGCCTTTCATGGCTGATGGCCTTTGAAGACTGTGATATGTGTGGTTTGGGAAAGATTGCGCCAGTCACCTTAGGAAGGGGCCAAGCAGGGCCCTGGGAATGACAACCACCAGCACACACCTGAAACAAGTATGAGTTACATGAGAATCAGAGACCTTGGTTCCTGCTGTGAACACACGCCATTGACTGGCCCAGGCAGCCGGAAGAGGGACTCAGCTGTCCCTGCTCAGCACAAGATGGTAAAATGTGAAAGCGGCTGATGGCAGCCCTCAGATCACTCTGCCCCCTCAGAAGTCTAACAGGGAAGGAAAAACTGAGGGCTGGGCAAAGAGGATGAGTCTGGAGGAAAGGAGACAGGAGGGTCCCATGGGACAGGGGAAGGTGGGAGGGGCTGCCCTGATTTTCTCAGAGGCCTAGCCAAGATTAAGGTCCTTCCTCACATGGGAGGGATGACATGTGGTCCTGTTGGGAAAAGGTCCAGCCAAAATAGGTGGCCCTGTCCCCAGTCCAGTAAGGCACTGGGTGTATGAGCCTCACAGGAAAGGTGTGAGGCCTGAACTTTCCTCGGGGTGGAAGCATGAGCCCCAGGTGCAAGGTGCAATGAGAAGCCGTGTGCTTCCTTAGACAGGTGTGCCAGACTCATGGTAAGTGTTTGTCTTGTGCAACACAGCTGCATCCTAACTGCGGTCCTCATGCCTCAGATGTGTGTCGGATGGGCCCCCTCAGCTAAATGAACCAGGTGTAAGCCTCAGGTCCAGGTGAGTGCCAGGGATGGTCCTTGGGGTCCCAGGGATGTGCCAGGGATAGCCTTGGCCCAGCACTTGCCTGCAAAGGTGGCCTCCTCCTCGGGATCAGGCGGCTCGGGCAGCGCCTGCTCCCTAGCGCCCACATCCACGTGCCTCACAGGCTCCGACGTCTCTATGACAGCCACAGCTCTCATCCGGCGGGCCTCCCGATCGGGGTCGGTGTCTGTATCTGTCTCTGTCTCTGTCTCTGAGTCTGAGTCCAAATCCGGGGCCTCATCTTCCGAGCTGGCAGCACCCCTCGTGGCAGCCACTGCAGCGGCCATAGCAGCAGCCTCGGCTGAGTCAGAGTCCTCCATGAGACTCAAGGAGCACTCGGCGGAGAATGCTGAGATCCCAGTAAAGTTCAGCTGAGCAGGATGGGCTGAGGCCCAGCTCAGAGGAGGGGGTTGATGAGCTCTGTCAAAGGGCTGAGATGCAGGCCCAGCTCAGCAGAGCAGGGTGAGACCCCAGCCCAGTTCTGCTGAGGGGATGAGACCCAGGCCCGGATCTGCAGAAGGGGACGAGACCCAGGCCAGCTCAGCAGAGCAGGGTGAGACCCCAGACCAGCTCTGCCGAGGGGGCTCCACCTGGCCACACGGGTCAGCTCAGAGAAGGCTCAGACCTCAGGGGTAGAGGGAAGGGAGATTTTGGTGGGGGGGGGGATCAAAGGTGGCACCGAGCTGGGGAGATGTTAGCTTAGGTGGGGTCACCCGGCCCAAGAAGGGTCGAACCCGGGACCAATTGGGCCCGGGGGGGTGTGGCCAAGGGAGAAGTGGCCGGGAGAGGGCGGGGCGCCGGCTTGACAGACAGGGCCGGGCGGGCGGAGCCCCTCCTCCTGCCTTCCTCCCGTCTCCCCGCCCCCCCCGGGCCGAGCTCGCCCGAAGCGGCCCGAAAGGGCGGCCGGAGGCGGCGGACGGAGCCGAGGGGGCCCGAGCGGACCCGAGCGGGCCCGAAGCGCGCCCGGAGCGAGCGGGCGGACGGGCCCGAGCGGTCCCGAAGCTGCCCCCGCCGCCGCCGAGGCTCCTCCTCACGGACAGGCAGGGCGCCACGAAGATGACTGCCCCCGCCGCGCCGCCGCGGTCCCGGGACGCACCGAGAGGCCGGCCGTGCACCCGCGCCCGGGCCCAACCGAGAGTTGCCGACGCTAGCCGAGCCCGTCCGAGAACGACGGCCGCGCGCCCGAAGATGGCCGAACGGCAGCCGAAGCGTCCCATTGGCTGCGGGGCCGCGGGGCCGCGCCCGCCGCCGCGAGGGGCGGGGCCAACGCGCCGCCGAGAACGCCGGTGGAGGGCGCACGGGCTGCCGGGATCGGGGCGGACCGAGGGGGGCGGGGGCTAAGATGGCGGTCGTACGGAGAGGTGAGGCGGCGGCGGAGAGCGCCAGAGGGCGTAGCGGGGAGGCAGGCGGGTAAGGGGGCAAGGGACTAGACTCAGATCCCACGCCGGCGGGCTGCTGGGAAAGCCGGCCGGCTAACGCCAACCCACCCGTCCAACTTTGGCGCCTGCGCAGTAAGTGCCGGCCTCTGGCGAGTCCTGGGTAGAATGCTGGTTTTCCAGGACGAGAGCGTAGCCATGGCTGTGGCGCCTGCGTAGTAAGTGCCGGTCTCGAGAGCCTTAGAATGTTCCGGGTTCCTGGGACGGAAGGTGCAACTGCGGCTTTGGAGCCTGCGCAGTAGGTGCCAGGTCGTCGAGGGTGCCTCTGCCGCTGACGTTTAACTTGACCTGCACCTTTTCTTAAGGGATTGCCGATCTGGAACCCGACCCTGTAATCAGGGAGCTCTAAGTTCGAATCCCGCCCCCGCCCTTCCCTGTGATGTTGGCCAAGTCTCTCTTTTTTTTACCTCTAGCTTCCTTCTCTGTAAAATGGGTTAGAATTGTGTTTTTTCCCCTATATTGATCATTGTGAGCCAATAGAATTTATTTCCTTGGTCATCCCTTTCATTTTGTGCATTTAAAACATGATTCTGAGAAGGGAGCAGTCAGGCAGCATTAAGCGCCTAACCCTAAATGCCGTGCATTGCCAATTGTCACTGCCCTCATGGAGCTTACAGTCAAATGGGGGAGGCGGCCACAAACCTGTACACACTCGCTGTAGATAGGATAAATAGGAAATCATTAACCAAGGAAAGCCTGTGGAGATGCAGAAGGGCCCCTAGAAACGCACCCCAGCCCAGCCTGCTGTCTGCTCAGCCCCCGGGGGATGCAGTCCTAGGGTCCCCTGCAGGGCTAATCTGCTCTTGGGTCAAGTCAAAATGGGTCCCTTTGGGGGGCAGCTAGATGACTTAGTGAATAGAGCTCTGGCCTTGGAGTCAGGAGGAACTAAGTTTAAATTCAGCCTCAGACACTTAACACTAGCTGTGTGACCCAGGGCAAGTCACTTGACCCCCATCACCTCACCAAAAACAAAAAACAAAATGGGTCCCTTTGCTCTTCTCCCCACAAATTAGCCTTATACAGGCCAGCCCTCCTGGTAGAGGAGCTCCTCCTCTTCTTTCTCCTTCTCCTCTTTCTCGTTCTCTTCCTCCTCTTGTACTTTTTCTCTTCTTCCTCCTTCTCTTCCTCCTCCTCCTTTTTCTCTTCCTCTTCCTTCTCTTTTTCTCTTCCTCCTCCTCCTCTTCCTCTTCCTTTTTCTCCTCCTCCTCCCCTCCACTTTCTCTCATCCCCTTTCTGACCTCATCATTCCACCAAAACTGCCCTCTCCAAAGTGACCAGTGATCTCTTCCTTGCCGGTCCAATGGCCTCTTCTCAATCCATATTCTTGACTTCTCTGTGGCCTTGGACACTGGTGATCACTCTCCTCCTGGATTCTTTCTTTTCTCTAGGTTTTCAGGACACCCCTTCCCTCTTCACTCCTGATTCTCATTCTCTGTCTCCTTTACTGGATCCTCCTCCATGTCATGCCCTCTGAGCATACTTCCCTCCACACAGTTGGCTGCTGGGTGGTCCAAGGGATAGAGCACAGGTCCTGGTGTCAGGAACCTGAACTCCAGAAGTCCTGGATTCAAATCCAGCATCAGATATCTACTAGCTGAATGACCTTGGACAAGTCACTTAAATTTGGCCTCAGTTTTCTCAACTCTCAAATGGAGAAAATACCACCTACCATCCAGGATTGTTGTGAGGATCAAATGAGTAAATATTTGTGAAGAGTTTCGTATACAGTACCTGTCATATAGTAGGTACTATATAAATTCTAGCTATTATTATTATTTTACTTAGTGATCTCATCAGCTCCCAAAGATTTAATTATAATTTCTAAGCCAAAGATTCTCAAATCTACCTATCCACCCTAAACTCTCTGCTGACCTTCAGTCTCATCTCCAACTTCTTTCAGACAGTGCAAACTGGATATCCAGTATTTATCTTAAACTCAGCATGTCTAAAACAAAATTCATCATCTTTTCCCCTAATCCCTACCTTCTTCCTACTTTCCCTGTTACTGTGAAGGGCACCACCCTCCTCCCAGTCCCCAGGCTCTTAACCTGAGTGTCCTCCCAGACTCCTCTCTCTCATCCCCCTATATCCAATGCGGTACAATAGCCTGTTGATTTCTCTTCTGCTGCATCTCTTGTCAATTTCCCCTCTGCTGCATCTCTCCTCTGATCCTGCTGCCACCCTAGAGCAGGCCCTCATCACCTCATGCCTGGACTATTGAAATAGCTGCTAGGGGTCTGCCTGCCTCATCTCTCACCCTCCTTCAGTCCATTCTCCATTCAGCCACCAAAGTGTTCCTCCTAAAAGGGGCAGGTTTAACTATGTCACCCTCCTACTTAATAAATTCCAGTAGGTTCCCTATTTCTTCCAGGATCAAATACGAAAGCCATTCAGAATTCAGCCCCCTACTCCCTCTTCAGTCTTACAGCTTAGTTCCTAACACATACTCTTTAATCCAGTGACATTGACCTGGCTGTTTCACCAAGAAGTTCCTCCATCTCTCAGCTCTGGGCATTCTCTCTGACCATTCTCCCTTCTCTCTAATTCCTGAAAATCCCACCTCCTACAGGAAGCCTTCCTCAGCCCTCTTTATTCTGGTAGCTTTCCTGTTTCTTATTTCTCTTGTCTATAGCTTGTCTGTATTTTTGCTTGTTGTCTCCCCTGTTAGACTGTGAGCTCCTGGAGGGCAGGGACTATCTTTTGTCTTCCTTTGTATTCCAAGTTCTTAGCACAGTGTCTTGCATACTGATTATCACTGATTGCTCAAAATGTGGCACCAAGAACTGAATACAATCCTGATGAACTGACACGCGATAAAAAAGCATTTATGAAGCACCTAATGTATGCAGAACGCTGGGGACATAAAGTACATGTGGATTAAGATCATTTCCATGGAAATACAAATATTTCCCAAGTGTTGTGCTAGACTGGAAAGGTATCCAAGATGCTATTTAGGACCTAGTCCTTGTCCAGAGACTCCTGGAACCTCGTTGAAGTCTCTGGATGTCTGTGGTGGGATCAAAGTGAGGCCTTGTATTCTACTGGCTGAGACCCCATCTGGACTTACGTCCTGTCTCTACTGCAGGTTGTTGGTCCGCTGCTCTCGATCTCAGTTTCCTCATATGTGAAATGGGGGGACTGGACTAGACCATCTCTGAGGTCTTGCCTTGGAGTTCAGAGCTGTGAGTTGCAAATGATTCATGTCAAAAGAATGAGTCCATTAGGCTTTTCCCTTGTGTTTTCTCAAAGGAACTCACACCAAAAGGGAAAGGACCTGGGGGCCCAATGCAGCCTGCCCATGCTCAGATCCACGCCTAGGGCCCAGCTGCCCCCCACATCTCCCTCTCAGAGTTTGGGGAGTTGGACATCCCTTTCTCTTCGCTTAAAGATTAGGCTGAAGATGAGGGGGCCACATACTGGGGCTCCTGGTGTTGTAAGCGAGCTAGTCCTCCTACTCTTTGGCCCTGGAGAGCATCGGGGGGGAGGGGGTGGCTAGCAGAGTGTTTCACCACTTTGAAGAGCTCCCCTGGACTAACTGGATTGTGTTTTTCTTACAGGAAGATCCTCCATCCTTGTATCCTTTCTGCTCACTCCCTTTTCTGGCCCTGACCAGCCAGGAGTGGCCCCTGTCAGACCCATTATGTCTGAGAGCCAGAGCATAGCCACTGTGCCTCAGTCTCTTCATCTGTAAATTGGGGGATAAAAATACCTGTCACTCCCTGCTTTTGAGGGGGTGTTGTTAGAATGGATGAAAGCACAGAGGTGCTCCTGAGTCAGTTACCCCTCAGGCGGTGAAGCTTCTGGGGGCCATACAGGCAGGAGGCAGAACTATCTCAGGCAAGTTCTTGGTGGCCTTTGAGATACTGGGAAAGGACAAATACAAAGATGTTTTATTTACACCATCTCATCTGCTTCCTGAAAAATTAATGGCAAGGAATGGGGTTTCTCCTTCATGTGCTGCCGCGAGAGGGAGGCAGGGCCAGTGCACCTGACCTGGGCGCTTGGTTACCTGAGCAGGCCAGGAGAGAGAGCTCCCAGGGAAAGAATAGGAGGGGGCTGTGCAGCAGGCCTTTGTGGCAGAAGCACTCAGCTGACATGCTTTCCAGGGTCTGGCTCATGTCTGTCACTCCCTGGTGGCTCTGTGGTTGTCCTTTGGGCAGGCGAGAGGAAGAGTGAGCAGGCCAGGCTGGCACTAGGGGCCGTGTGACCTCGGGGGTGAGGGCTTGGCGCCTCAGTTCCGCCTAGACAGACTCCTTAACAGCTGGCCAGCTCTCCTCAGTGCCACTGCAGATGCAGTTTTACTTGAGCGGATTATATTACCCCTTCTATTTCCTGGTCTCGCTGCTAGTGATTTTTTACAAAAGTGAGTTGCTGGGGCCCCGAGGAGCGTGGGCAGAGCATGGGTGGGCATGAAGACAGCCGCCACTGCTGACTTGTCTGCCCAATGTCATTGCAGTGCACCTTTTCTCTTACCCACCCGATCTGTGGACCGTTGATCTGATTCTTCTTGGGAGCATGGGTGTTCTGGAGGCCCTGCGGCTCTACCTGGGTGAGTTGGCTGGTGTGGCCGAGCCGGGAGGGAAGCAGGCGGGGTCCAGTGTAGAGGGCTCTCCCAGACACTTGGTGCATTTGTCTTGTCTAACAAATGGCTTTTGAAGCTTCCCTTTACATTCTTATTAAGCATTAGTTTATTCAAAGGCCTAACCTGAAAAAGGAGTCCTATTGGCCTTTTCTTAGGAGGCCACAGGGTAACTGCTCTCAACGGTCCCTCAGATGCTCTTCTTGGTCCTGTAGACACATGGAGCCATGTGGATGGCCCCCTGCCTCCTTTGTTCCTTTACTCACGCTGCTCCCCACCTTCCCCATATCCTGACTGCCCAACCCTGGAAGGTAGAGTGAACAGGCCAGGCCATGAGCCATTACCTTCAGGCTGAGTAGGCTCTGCTGGGATGGAGGCCCTGCTGGGGATGAGGTCCTGCTGGGATGGAGGCCCTACTGGGGATGGAGGCCCTGCTGGGGATGGAGGTCCTGCTGGGATGGAGGCCTTGCTGGGATGGAGGCTCTGCTGAGATGGAAGCCTTGCTGGGATGGAGGTCCTCCTGGGAAGGAGGCCCTGCTGGGGATGAGGCCCTTCTGGGAAGGAGACCCTGCTGAGATGGAAGCCTTGCTGGGATGGAGGCCCTTCTGGGATGGAGGCCCTGCTGGGGACGAGGTCCTGCTGGGATGGAGGCCCTGCTGGGGATGGAGGCCCTGCTGGGGATGGAGGTCCTGCTGGGGATGAGGCCCTTCTGGGGATGAGGTCCTGCTGGGATGGAGGCTCTGCTGGGATGGAAGCCTTGCTGGGATGGAGGTCCTGCTGGGAAGGAGGCAGTAGCTCTAAGAGGCTTCCTCTGGGTGAGGAGGAGCCCCCCCCCCCGAGTGGGTCTTAATGGGTCCGGGGACAGCGCCTGCCTTGGCCTCCCTCACAGAGCCCGCGTGCCCCCCAGGTGCAAAGGGCAACTTGACAGAAGAGGAATCGCTGCTGGGCAGCAGCCTCCTGCTGACCGTCATCAACGCCCATCCTGGCTCTGTACTTCCTGCTGTGGGCGGCCTACGTACTGAGGATAGAGATTCTCCTCAATAGCATCCTGCTCACTCTCTACGGCCTGGAGGGTGTCCTGCAGGTGGTCACCGTCACTACCTTTGTCAGCTAGCCTGCCCGGCCTGTTCACACCTAACGCGCAGCTCTCATACCTCGATGGAGCCCGGGAATCTGGGCTCCTGGGCTCGGGGTGTTTGCTGCGGTCTCCCTGAAGGCCTGCAGCCCCACCAGCTGCCTGCTGGCATGGGGGCTGATGGGTACTGGTGCCTCAGATCTCCCTACCTGTGTTTCGCCCCCAGGTGCCACACCTGACAGTCACCTCTTGAGCCTCAGTTTCCTCAGATGTAGCATGGGGTGATTGTCCCATTAGTGGCCACTCACAGGTGGTTACGGCCGTAGATGGCAACCGTGTTTCAGAAGCTCACGAGGGGCTGGCTGGGTCCTGCTACAATTCTCCCCTTCCCTGGAGAGGCTGCTCCCAGCTGGAACCCAGAGACCCCAGTCCTAAACTGAAAGGGGCTTCTAAGCTCTCTGAGCCCACCTCCCATTTTACAGATGAGGAAATTGAGGTTCGAAGATCATCACTTGTCCAAGGCCACACTGCTGGGATTTGGAGCTGGGGAGCTCCTGGCTTCATCGAAGGCCTGGGGTGCCGGAACCGGGCCTGGGTACATGGAGCCCCCAAAGAGCCGATCAGAACTACTACCAAGAAAGAGGAGGGACCAGCCAGGCCTGTGGAAGTGTGTGGAAGAAGAGAGAGAGATGGTGGCAGCCCCATTCACAAATGGGGGAGGAAGAGGAGTGGCACAGCTGACCGAGCAGGGCCTGCTGAGGGCTGGCTCTGTGCACGGAGCTGCCCACCCCAGGGTGCCCTGGGCCCGGAGCACAGTGGAGGGTTGCGGCTGAGAAAGTGTGTCCGCTCCGCTCAGGACCCTTTGCCCTTCTCTGGGGGCCTTTCTCCATATCACACACCTGGTTTTTGTGAATGGTGAGTGTTTAAGGGACTTTGCTACTTTTTTATGTTTTCAAATAAAATCTTTGTATCCAGTCCAGCAGTCCAGATGCCCCCAGATAAGGCCAGCCACCTTCCCTGGGGGAGCTTCCTGGGCCCAGCCCCGCTTGCTGCCCTGAGGCCAGGGCCAGCTCCTGGGATGCTCTGGTGTGGGAGCAGTGAGTCCAGGCTGCCCAGGCCCATAGCCTCTGGCCTTTGGGCACAGAGCCCAGAATTTGGTGCCAGCTGCCCTGGCTACGTGTGCAGATTAGAAAGACAGAGGGAACGTCTCCCCGGTGGCCCACATTGACACCGCGCAGGTAGTCGTGTTTTCCATGTGGGCTGCTTCCCGTGGCCCGTTGATGACAAGAACATGCGGTGAGTGCATCTAGCCCTGTCTACAATGCAGCCCTCTCAGGCCCATTCAGCCTCTCCTCCCTTTCCTCAGAGGCTGCAGCCATGCCCCAGCAAGCAAGCAAGCACTTCAGCGGGCACGGCAGGCCCAGGGATGACCGAGAAGTGGTGGGGGGAACCGTGTGTGTCGGACAAGAGTCGTGGGTCAGTCTTCACACTTTGTGTTCTAAGTCCCATTGCACAGAGAAGGAGACATTTCAGACGGAGAGTCAGGCTAGCTCACGGCAGCCTCTTCACTAGGGCCAGCTGGTCTGGTGGGGGGTAGGGCCTCAGCCCCTTCAGAGCTGCCCCAGCAGGATGGGCCTGCTCACTCCCTGAAGGGCCATGTGAGTCCCAGCTCACTTTTAGGGTTGGTCTGAGAGGGTGGCCAGAGAGGACTCAGCTCGCACTGGGCTCAGAGTCTGTCTTCCTGGCGCAGGCTGCCTGCTGGATTTGCCGGGTTAGACCCCTCCACCTCCCTCCGTCTCCAGACCCTCAAGACCCCAGTCACTAAGGAGCCACCCTGAGGTCATGGTCTGCCAGCCAGCCAGCCATCCTTGTCATCTGCCAGCACTGAGGCAGGGCAGACACGTAGATAGTTCCCTGTCCTGCAGGGGCTCATCTTCTAATGCCCCTACCCCCAAAAAGGATGCCTTTGAGAACAGAGAAAGTTAGCCTTAAGACTTCTTTTTCTCAGGGGCAGCTAGGTGGTGCAGTGGATAGAGCACCGGCCCTGAAGTCAGGAGGACCTGAGTTCAAAGCTGGCCTCAGACCAAACACTTGACACTTAGTAGCTGTGTGACCCTGGGCAAGTCACTTAACCCCAATTGCCTTAAAAAAAAAAAAAGACTTTCTTCTCAGGAAAAGTGAGTAGGGGGGGAAATGTCATTTGCTGAGAACAAATGCCCCGTTACTCTTTTGGGAAAAGGCTCCCAAGAGGAAGCTGGCCACTTTGACCCAGGTCCTTGCACCCCTCACTGCTGACCTCTAGTAGCCCGCCAAGCAGAAGTCACTAGAGAGTAAAGGTCAGGGGTCCAGGCTCACCAGGTTAAGCCTTTCTCTGGTCTGGGTAGACAGGCTGCTTCATCCTCCACATTTGGGAAGGCCAGAAACAGTGGCTGAAGACTCAGTCTCCAGTGTGTGGGTACAAAGTCCAGGCTCCCAATGCCCCTTCCCCTACCCACCCTCCTCCTTGGTAACAGCCCTGCCCACTTCCTCCCCGCCTTCCCAGGGTGTTTTCTACCTCTCTCTAGCCCAGTGGCTGCTGAGTGGAAGTGGGTGGGAATAGTGTGGTAGGGAGAAGAGAGGATAAGCCTTTACATGGTGCCTAGTGTGTGCCAGGTACTGTGCTGAGCACTGGGATGACAAAGGAGGGCAGAAGCCAGCCTGCTCTCAAGGGGCTCCCAGTCTGCTGGGGGAGGCAAGCCGACAACTGTGCCCAAACGAGGGAGAGCTGGGATGAAGGGGGGTGGGGTGATCTCAGAAGGAAGGCACTATGATCACAGAGGGCTGGGGAAATGGGCTATGAGCTGGGACCTGCAGGAGCCAGGAGGCGGAGAAGAGGGTGGAGGACAGCCAGGGGAAATGCCCAGAATTGAGAGGAGCCTCTTGTTCCAGGAGTAGCAAAGAGGCCAGAGTCACTGGATCTCATAGGAGGAGGAAGGTGTAGGGAGACAGGGAAGCTTGAAGGCCTTCAGAAGCCCACCAGAGAATGTAATATTTGATCCTGGAGATTATGGGGGAGTGAGATGGTGAGACCTACAACTTAGAAGGATCACGTTGGCAATGGAAGAAATGATGGACTGCAGTAGGGAGACCCACCAGCAGCCACTGCCGTGGTCCAGAGGGGAGGAGACAAGGGCAGGGCCAGAGGAGAGAAGGGTCTTATATGACAAGACTTGGATACTTGGATGGGGGGGGTGTGTGTGAAAGAATGAGGAGCTGAGGATGACACCCAGGTTGGGTGCCTGGCCGGATGGAGTGCAGGAAGAAAGATGATGACTTCGGTTTGGGATATGATGAGTTTAGGGTGTCTTGGAGACAGAGTTTGAAATCTCCAGTAGGCAACTAGACATGTGAGACTGGAGCTCAGCAGGGAGATCGGGGCAGGAAAGGTAGATTTGAGAATCGTCAGCACAGAGACATCTGAATCCCTGGGAGCTGGTGAGATTCCCCAAGGGAAATAGTCTAGGGGGAGAAGAGCAGAGGGCCCAAGACTGAGTGTTGGAGTCCAGCCAAGGAGACAAGAGTGGCTGAGCAGGTAGGAGGGGAACCTGGGAACAGCAGTATCCCAGAAACCTAGGGAGAAAAGCGCATCAGGGTAAAGCCAGAGACTGCGGAGGGATGGGGTCAAGAAAAGCACTCAATTTGGCCACGAAGGGATGATTGGTAACCTTGGGAAAAGAGAAGTCGGTGGAATCAGATGAGAAGCCAAGGAGAGTGAGAGGAGAGGAAGTGAAAGCATCAAGTGCAGATGGCCCTGTCCATGAGGTTAGCCATAAAGGCAGAAGAGTGAGCAGGCAGGAAAGGGCCAAATGAAGGTTCCTTCAGGGTGGGGGAGATGGGCATGCTTGTAGGTAGGAGGGAAGCAGCCAGTAGAGAAGGAGAGATGAACGGTAAATGACAGAGAGAGGTGGTGGTCTGTTGAAGGAGATGGGCTGGAGCAGGCAAAGGGGTTAGCCTTGGTCATCGTGGGAGAAGGGGTGAAGGAGGAGAGAGTGGCCAGAGGCACCTGAGTGAGGAGAAATCCCGGGAAAACTCATTGTGTTTAGTGAAATAGGGGGCAGGGGTCTCTGCTGAGAGGGTGGGGGGAGGAGGAGCCGCAGGAAGCTTGAGGTTTGGAATTGCCACTGTGGAGGGTGGGAGAGTGTATTGGTTAGGGAGGTGTAGAAGATTGCCTGGCAGCAGTGAGGGCCCAGTTGAGATCATCTTCCCCATTCTACTGTGACCTCCGTGAAGGTAGAGACTTGTATCTCTTTTTGCATCCTAGCATCAGGTTAGGGGATGTGAGGCAGAGGGAGAGATGGAATGACCACAGATAATGGTTAGATAAGGGAATGTCAGAGTTGGAGATCAAGGATATGACTTATCTGTGTGGAACTGGGGCAGGTGGAGAAGGTTGGGGAGAGCTACAGACCTTCCAGAGACCCTGGGGGGGGGGAGCTACAGACCTTCCAGAGCCCCTGGGGGCAGTTTCAGACCTTCCAGAGTCCCTGGGGGGGAGCTACAGACCTTCCAGAGCCTCTGGGGGCAGTTACAGACCTTCCAGAGCCCTGGGGGGCAGCTATAGACCTAAAAACCCTTGCGGGGGACAGCTATATACCTTGTAGAGCCCCCAGGGAAGGCAGTTACAGAGCTTCTGGCATTCCTGGGGAGGGCAGCTACAGACCTTCTAGAGCCTCAAGGGAAGAGGGAGTTACAAACCTTCTGGGGGGGGGGCTAGCTATAGACCTTCTAGAGCCCCTGGGGCAGTGCAGTTACAGACCTTCTAGAGCGCAATTCCTTGGGGGGAGGGTGTAGTTATAGACCGTCTAGAGCCCCTGGGGGCAGCTATAGACCTTTCTAGAGCCCCTGGGGGTGGAGGGTGCAGTTTTAGAGCTTCTAGAGCTTCTGGCGGGGGGCAGCGGCAAAGCCTCTAGAGCCCCTCTGCAGGGGAAGGAGTGGGGTGAGAGGGTAGTTGTGAATCTTCTCTCTCCTTCCCCTGTTAGGAGGTGAAATCAGCCACAAGTCACTCCGTCAATCAACATGTATTAAGTGACTGCTGGGTGCCAGGCACCCCTCTGCCCAGGTGGTAGTAAGGCAGAGCTCCGCCCCGAGCAGGCTGCAGAAGGGGCCTGGGGCTGCCTCTCCCCCTCCTCAGCCTCCCCCCTCTTCCCAGCGGGTTTCCTCTTTCCTCCTTGTCCTTCCTTCCCTCCCAGTGGCAGCTGGCTCCCCCTCCCTGCTCCCTCCCCAGCTGGCTGGGCCAGGCTTTCCGGTTACACAGTAACCTGTTACTCTGGTTCTCATCCCACCTCAACATGCCCCGCCCCTCCCTCTCTCCCTCCCTCCCTCTCTCCCCGCTCCTTGGACCAGACGAGTGAGCGCAGCGCTCTGCCCGGTGCCTGCCTGCTGGGCCCCTCACCGGTCCTAGTGCCCCATTGTGCATCCACCTGCGGGGAAGAGCACTGCCGGAGGGAGAGAGGCCCGGGACAGGAGCCGAGAGGACGGGGAATGAGGAGGCAGTGACCGGCAGAGCCAGCAGGCTCCCAGGTGAGGCCGTGGCCCTGGCTCAGCTCCCTAAGTGGGCCAGGCTCAGGGCAGGGGCTGAAGGAGGTGGGGGAGGGCATATGTGGAGACCCCAATTCCCTCTCCTACCCACCACTGTCCCCTCAGGATCATCAGGGCACCAGCCACTGCCCACTATATCTTGAGGGTCATCCAGGCTGGGCACTCACCTAAGCTGAGCCGCGGTGCCCTAGTTCCACGGAAGTTCCACTCCAAAGGACCTGGCCAAGGGCTGCCTTTGCTGAAGGTCAAAAGCAGCTCCAATTGGTCAGACTGCCAGGAAGGGCCTGCTTTGGAGCCAGCGCCCTGGGGGCTGGGGCCACCTTGAGCCAGAGGGTGTACAACTTTTCTGAGTCCCAAGATGCCTCCCCCGCTTTGTGACTCCGTTTCCCCACATGGGGTCCCACTACCAAGGAGCTGACCTGTCGCTGGGGACCAAACAGATGGCTGAGGGGGGCCGTTGAGGTCTGTGTGGAGGGGCCGCTGTGCTCCGAGCCTGGGGAAGTGATGGGAGCTCCCCTCTGTTTCCATCTTGGGCACTGTCCTGGGTCGTTCTTCCCCCAAGGCTGCCATATGCACGTCAGGCCCAGCTGAGTGTGACTACAGTGGGGGTTCTTGGACACTTGGGTTATTTTTAAGTTGGCCCCCTGCCCCCCACCCGGCCCTGGGGCTGTGGGCCTGGAGGGGAACCCAAACATTCCCCTGCGTCACAAAGGCAGGAGGGGGCGGGGCAAGGCAGGTTGAGAGACAGGAGGGGGAACCTCATCCTTTGTGTAAAAAAGGCGTCCTGAGCCCCACAGTGTGAGCACACTCATCCCCCAGGGGCTGCTGGAAGTAGAGACTGCCCTGCTCACCCCTTGCCCCCCCCAAAGCCTCACCCAAACTGGGGAGCTGCCCTTTGCTCTGCTAGCCATGAGAGCAGTGACTAACCTGTTAGATTCCACACAGGAACTGCAGAAGGGCCTGTCCCCGGGCCAGGGAGGCGGGGGCACAAGTCACAGTTAGGGTTCAAGTTCAGGTTCTGGCCCCTCTTGGCTGGAAGAGGGTGGGGCAGCCTAGACTCAGGGTCTGGTCTCTTGACTCCTTCCCTTCGAGGAGGTCAGCTTCCCCATCGACGTCAGGAGAAGGGGTCAGAGAGGGGAATTGAGGCACGAAGCCAAATGCTTGTTCAGTCATTCCAGTCTGTCCTGCTCTTCCCCACCCCAGTTGGGGTTTTCTTGGCAGAGACGCTGGAGAGGTTTTCCATTGCCTTCTCCAGCCCATTTTACAGATGAGGAAACTGAGGCCAGCAGGGTGCTGTGACTTGCCCGGGGTCACCCAGCTGGGAAGTGTCTGAGGCCGGATTCTAACCCGGGGAGAGGAGGCACCCTGTCCACTGCACCCCTGGCTGCCCCTATTCCACAGTGGCCAGCCCCTCCATAAGCAGCCCCCCGGTGAAAGGCAGGGTCTGTGAAGACTGGGGGACAGGCCAGCAGAGGCAGGGCAGCAGAGTCCAGTAGTCTATTCGGGACTTTTCTCTGCACTCTGGGCCGGCAAGGCTGCCCAAGGGGAGAACAGGTCCAGACGGGTCCCCAGAGCAGGGTCAGCCTTCTACTTGCTCCCTCCTCCCAGAGAAGACTTGCTCTTGGCCGAGGCCTGCCTCCTGTCCCTTTCCCGGAGGCCCCAGACTAGACCTGCAGCCCTGCTCACTGAGCCAGCCTACCTCCCCTGCCCCAGCCCTCCCCCAGCCCTCCCCCAAGGACACCAGGCATCTGCAGCTGAGCTGGAGTTTGAACTTGGAGTGGTTGGCATTCCTCCGGCCTGTTTTGCTGCCTCTCCCTGCCCAGGGGCCCTTCCTGCCCCAGGTGGGGCAGGTTCTGGGTGCTGCCCTCTCCCCTTCCTCCCTGAGGTTTGTCAGTCAGAACTGGGGCTTCCCCCTCAGCCCTGCCCTGGGCTGCCCTCCGTGGACCCTAAGGCACCCCCCTGGCCTCCTCCTTCCCCCCAGGACTACAGTGAGCCAAAGGGCAAGTGCACTTCCCCCCTTCGTCTGACCCTGAGCAGCACAAGGCCTCAAGAAGCCCTGTCTTTCTCAGCACCCCCCCCCCATGCAAACAGAGTGGAAATGGGGAGCTTGGCAGGGCAGGGTGAAGGGAGTTACCTTATTTCCTCCCCAGCCACCCTAACCTCCCAGAATTCCTTTCTGATATGACCATTCCCCAGATGGGGAAACTGAGGCCCAAAGAGCATGGATGCTCAAAGGAGGGACCCAGCCCTCAGCTCTTTGGTGGGGGAGCCTTGTGGGGGGAGGGGAGACAGGGCTTCTAATCTTCAGCCCCCTCCCATATCTTTCAGAGGTGGCCATTCTAAGGTGTGACCAGCCAGTTGTGACTGGCCTGATCCCAGGAGCTTAGGCCTGACACTACCCCCAAAACTCTCTACTGGCAGTCCCAGGGCCCAGATAGGGAAGGGAGAAGCTGGCTGGTTTCTGGGGGTGAGAGTGGGCCCATACCTCCTCAGTCCCTTTCTGCCCCTTCCTCTGCTTTGTCCCTCTTCAGTCAGGCTGCTAGGATTTCCAAGTTCTGGGTTCCTGTCTGGCTCTGCCTCTTCCTTGAAGCTCTGTGGCCTTAGACAAGACTCTTAAAGCCTGCAGACCTCCATAAGGCAGGGGCTGGACTCACCCCGATGGTGATGCTCTCAGACCCGTTTTTCTATGTGTGATGTGGGCCCAGGAGCTGGGGAAGCCCCACAGGGAAGGGGAAGTCCTGGGGCTAGGAGCGCCAGGGCAGGTCTGAGAGAGGAGGGAGGACCACAGAGTGTGGTGGACAAGGTGCTCCCCTGCCACACTGCCTCAGTTTCCTCATCTGTAAAATGAGGTGTTTGATTCATGTAAGGTTGCATCCTGCCCCAGATGTGTGCCGCTCTGACCCTTAGGGCCTGAGGCAGAGTTTGGGGGAGGCCCTGACTCAGGTCTCTGGCTCCTCCCAGGACCCAGCATGGGGCTGCTAGCTGCAGAGGACATGCTAGGCTTGGGCCAAAGTGCTTCTGGCCTCTTCCCTGGGAGAATGTCTGGAATGTGTGTGAGAAACACAAGCCTGGGTGAGCCCAGAATGTTTGTTTTACAGGATTCCTGGCCAACAGGTGCGTGCATGCCACATACATGTGTGCAGAGGCACATGAGTCTATGCATGTGCGTGTGCATGTGCATGGGTGAGCACAGCAATGCCACGCACATGTCAGTGCGCCCAGGGAGACAGCCTCTGCCGGCGGGTTCTCACACCCTGGCTTGGGGCAGTTTGTCTGTCAGACCTGGGCTGCCTGGGCATGGGCCCTGCCATCTCAAGGGGCCCCTGGCCCCAATGCCCAAGAAGATGCCTTTGTGCCAGAGGCCCTTCCCAGGCTGTCCTTTAATCCCCTGCCTTAGCACAGTGCCTGGCAAACAGCAGGCACTTAAGAAATGCTTGGTGACTTGCGTGGCCACATTCTTCCTGACCTCATAGTGATCAGCAGTCACTCAGCTGGGGGAGATTCCAATCTGAGAACATAGACAAGGGCAGGGTGAGAGCAGGGGTGCTGCTAATCATTTAACAACCAGCTCTCCAGGAAACAACGTACCCCCGTACCCCCGACACGCTTTTGAAACATTTAATCAGCATCATTGATACCTTCTTCAGGCTAGAGTTGGTAAAACAACCAAGCCCTGATTCGTACCCCACTCATGAGGTGAATGTTCACCCTGAACATTTAACTATCAACTCTCAGTGAGAACCTTCCTCCCAGGGTACATGATCAACAGAGTCACTGTTCCGGGAGCTCCAGGGCCACGCTCCCCGCCCCTCTGCTCCTCATGCTTCCGCTGTTCTCTGTCATAGCTGGACAGCTCCTGATAGACCATGAACCAATTGGGATCCCTGAGCAGTGGCCCCAGATCGCCCAAGTGAGCCGGGGCCCCAGGCGGATGGTGGGGCTCTCCTGGGGGAGGCGCCTGCCTGCCAGGATCCCCGGGCTGGGGGCAGGGGCTGGGGTGGGTCCCACACCTGGATCTCCTCTGGATCGATCCTGTGGGCAGAGCCTCCTGGGTGGGAGACATGGGAGGGCAGAGGGCAGGGGCACTAGCCACTTCTGGGTCCCTTCCTCTCCGCAGCGGCAGCATGGGGCGCTCAGATGGGATGGCCAGGATGAGCGCCAAGGACCTGTATGGTGAGTGCCCTTCTGGATCAGCCCGGGCTGAGAGGAGCGGATCACCCTGCCAAGGGGCTCCCTGCTTGGCCAGCCTGCAGACAAGAAAGCTCAGGAAGGGGGCCCTGGGAGGGGGTGTCATTTGAACTGTCCTGGGATAGCCGAGGCCTCCTCACCACGAGGTAGCGACTTCTGGCCGAGTCAGGGTGGCTGAGCTTTTGTGAGAGATGCGGTTGAGGGCATCTGGTCCCTTCTATTTAGAGTCTTTGATTGGGAAATGGTGCAGAGCAAGGGCCAGACTCAAAGTCCAAGGTCCTGAGTTTGAATACTGGCTCTGCTGCAGACTACCTAAGTGACCTTAGACAAGACACCATTTGTCTGGGCCTTAGCTTCCTCCTGTACAAAATGAGGTATTGGATCCATTGGAGAAAGAGGGAGGGAGGGAATAATCATGTATAGAGCGCCTACGGGCTCAGGGCTGGAGATACAGTGGAAGGCCCTGGAGGACTCCCAGTCTGACAGCGTGGGAGGGAGCTGCTGACGGCTGGGGCAAGTGAGGAGGAGGGGGAGGGGAGCTTTAGCTGGGACCTAAAGAAAGCCAAGGATGTAGTGTAGCCTCTGAGCTCCCTGCAGGGCTGGACCTGCTCTCCATGGGGGGCTCCCCTGGCCCTTCACTTTTGGGGAGCTGGGCCTGCTCTGCATGGGGGCTCCCCTGACCCTTCACTTTGGAGGGGCTGGGCCTGCTCCCCATGGGGGCTTCCAGACTGACCCTCCCTGCGTGTTCTCATCCAGGTAAGGGGAGCCGCCTTTACTTATTCATGGGACGTTAACTTTTACTCCCCCGGGGCCACTCCCTCTTCCAGAATCAGGTGCAACCAGATCCCCGAGGGCTTCGGTTCTGTTCTTGTCTGTCTACAAAGGCCTCCTGGGGGGCAGGGAAGAGAAGGCTGGTCCCGCCTTCTCTCCAACTCAAGAGCCATCTATAGGATTCAGGGGCTAGAAAAGATGGGTGCCTTCCTGAGGGGGTGAAAGGCCTGTGTGGTGGGCTTCACCTGGAGCTTATGAGACAGTAGGCTACCTGCCCTTCTGAAGAGACCCAAGGTCTCATTCTGGAACATCGGCAGAGGCACTGAAGGGCAGGCTGAGAGGCTGGGGCTGGGGGGGGGGCGGAGTGGCTGGCGCAGCCTCAAGGTTCTTGGCCAAGAAAGGGGGGAGAGGGAAGCTGGAGCTCCTTTGGGTTCTGGATATAATTATGGTACAGATGCAAATAATATGAAAAGAGCCCACCTGGGCTCCCCATGGGAGGGAGCTGGCATGGGTCCTCCCCGGGCTCCTCAGACCCCTCCTCCCAATCGCATCTAGAAGAGGGGCCCCTGCTAGTCCTCCCGGTCCAAGGCTTTCACTGACTACCTGGCTCCCCGTCCTGACTCAGACCAGCAGCTCTCCCAGGGGTGGGGTAGGGGTGGGCTCTGTGCCTGGCTCTTCAGCTCCCCCTCCCCCATTCCCTGGGGGGGGCCCTCAATGCCCTCCATTGGGGTGGTTGACCCATCCAGGCACCTCACATTCCTTAATGCCACAAAGTCCTTCCTGGTGTGTAACCCCAACCACTCCCTCCGCAGGCAGGGTGAGAATGCCACTTGACTCAGCTCTGACCCTGCATTCCAAGGCTGACCAGGCTCCTCCCTCCAGCTCCCACTGGCAAAGGGCAGAGGCCCTGGCCTGGTCCCATCCCCTGGCCTTGGGCTCCGCTCCCCTTGCCCCTTCCCCTTCGGCCACCCCGGTCCCAGGCCCGAGGAGGGAAGGTCAGCCGGTCCCTGTTTTGTCCTTGTGTTTCAGAGCAAAGGAAGAAATATTCAAACTCCAATGTCATCATGCATGAGACATCCCAGTATCACGTGCAGGTGAGGGGGTGCTTCCAACCCTATGGCCAAAGCTCTCAGGCAGTGACTCCCGCTCGAGCAGACCCTGAGGACTGCCCCCCCAACCCCAGCACAGAGGAATCTCTCATTTTACCAAAGAGGAAAACAAGGCACAGAGAAAAGGACTTGGGCCCTTGGCCCAAGGTCTCTGGGGAAATAAAGTCCAGATCTCCTGATTCCCAAGACCAGGGCACTGGGAGCTGTTCCTCTGGCTAGAAGCCTGGGAATTGAGAACACTCATCGATTTGTCCCCCAGCATCCTGGGGAGGAGCATAGTGGACAGATCTTTGGGGCTCCAGGCTGGGTGCCCAGCCCCTCATCTCCAGGCTTTGGGGCGCTCACCAGGGAGGTGGCAGTGCAGGCAACTGGGAGGCATGAGTCCCAAAGGAGGAGTGACCAAGCCCCAGGCCCCAGCTCAGGCCCGTTAGGAGAGGGAGAGTCAGAGACATGGAAGTCTGCTTCAGGGGAAACCACCGAAGGCCTGTTGCCAGCCTCATGACCAGGCTCAGGAGCCAGGGACGGAGAGCCCAGTGATCCAAGCAGGTGTTCAGGGTGGGCAGTTAACCAGTAACTTGGGAGATGGCTTTCAAGCACAAGGCCAAGCATCTGGGAGCTCAGGCCCTGAGCGGAGCCAGCTTCCTGGTTGGGAGCTCAGCTCCCCTCTGCACTTGTGGGGTGTCCTCTATGGTGCCACCTTCCTCCACAGGTCTACTTGTGCTTTGGGGCTGTGGGAGGGCATGGGGAACAAGGGCTGGCCCAGGCCTGGAGGCACCTCTGGAGGCCCGGTGGGCCCTTTGGGAGCCAGGGAAAGATGAGGCCAATGCAGCTGAAAGGGGCCAGAGGCCGAAGCTGCTGGTCAGTGGGGACCCTCCCTCTGGGGCCCTCTTTCCATCTCTGGCAAATGAAGGGGCTGGTCAGGGTCACTACTGGGGCTTTCCTGCTCATAGTTGGGGTCCTCTAGCTCTGGGCTGGATGGGCAGCAGGGTCACAGTGGGGGTGGGACAAGACAGACAAGTAAGTCCCCCTGCATGGGCAGGACTAGGGCTTCCTATCAGCCAGCCCCCTTGAGATGGAGCTAGGACTGTGGAGGACCCTGGACTTTGGTCTCAGCAGACAGCTCTGTACAGTAAAGGCCAGTGAGTGCCTGTGGGTGTAAAGGTTCTCCATCGCTTGCATCCAGAATGAAGAAGAGAAGGGAGAAAAGAGGCCCAGGCCGTGAGTTCCTGGTGCCCAGTGGCCCCCCTCTGCTGCACCGGGTACTATCGGGTTACACACATCCCCAGAGCCTGGGCACCCACCCGTGCAGCTGGAGCTGAAGCCTGTAGGCACTCAAGGCCATCTGGGGCAGAGAGACAGGACCACAGATGGGGGCGAGCCCCAGGATACTGGGGAGGGGGCACCTGCTGCTTTTCGACCTCCCCTTTCCTCTGTTCCTCACTGCAGCGGCTCTCACCTCCTCAGCTTGTCCAGAGACGGGCTGGGGAGGGAGCTGTGTTTCACCCAGATCAGCCTCCCTGCGTCCTGCCCCCACCCCAGCACAAACCTCCTCTCCCCTCTGCAAGGAAGCCCTCCCAGATGAGCAGAGTCACCTCAGAATTGGGTTCCACTGCTCCTCTTTGTCCCTGAGCCCTGAGGAGGCGCATCTCCTGCAGATCTCCTGTTGATGTTGCGAAGGCAGGGCCTGGGACCTCCTGACTAATGCCCCTCCCCCCTGCCCTCAGCATTTGGCCACATTCATGATGGACAAGAGTGAGGCCATCATCACAGTGGAAGACGCCATCCGCAAGCTGGTCCAGTTGAGCTCCAAGGACAAGATTTGGACCCAAGAGATGCTGCTGCAAGTTAACGACTCCTCCCTGAAGCTGCTGGATTGTGAGTCCCAGGTAGGGCTTGAAGTCCTGAGGGGCACGTGGGGAAGGGACCTGGAAAGGGCCATGGGGGGGGGGGCCGCAGGGCTGCTGGGAGGGGGGGCACAGGGCCTCTGGACCTTGAGGCCCAGGTGCAGCCACATGGGGAGACCAAGGAAGGATTTTGGACTGAGCCAAACAGGGCCTGGGATTTGTGCTGGGTCTACAGGCCTGTTACACATGTAGTGGGCCCTTGCAGGAAGGACTTCCCATGTTGGGTCATTTACATATAGACCTTGCATCTCATTTGCATACTGCTCACCTGGGGCCAGCGGGCTCCTGGGATGAATGGAGGGACCTGCCCAGTCCTCCTTTAGGGGAAGGAGGGTCTGGGCCTGAGAGGGGTGAGGGGCACCTGAGCCTTGGGGGGGGGGGGTTAGCTCTGGGGCGGGGCCTAGGCCTGAGGGGGCGGGGCCTAAAGGAAGGTCAGAGAGGCCTGGGGCAGGCGGGGGCTGGTCCTGAAGCGGGGGTCTGCCTCTCCTCCCTCGCCCCCTCCCCGCCAGGAGGAGCTGGAACATTTTCCGCTGGGTACGGTGCAGCACTGTCAGACTGTGCTGAACCAGCTTCGCTACCCCTCAGTGCTGCTGCTGGTGTGTCAGGATTCCGAGCAGCACAAGCCCGACGTGCATTTCTTTTACTGCGACGAGGTGGAGGTGAGCCACCCCCCCCCCCAGAAAAGCCCAGCCCTCACGCAGGCTGCACTGCGCCGGACTGGGGGAGGGGGAGCGCAAGAGCTAGCGCGAGCGCACACCTGGGGCGCCCACGCCTCCACCACACCCACCATTCTCTCCGCAGTGACTCACCCGGCACTGACTCTGCCGAGCACAGTGCTAGGCACCAGGTGCAAGCACAAGTCAAACACCGTAAACAGCATACAGTCTAGCGTTAGCTAGGTACACGCAAGTCAGCGGATAGAGCTCTGGGCCGGGAGTCAAAAAGACCCGAGTTCAAATGCGGCCTTAGACGCTTCCTGGCTGTGTGACCCCGGTCGAGGCATTTCACCTCTGCCTGCCTCAGTTTCCTCCTCTGGAACAGTTGTGAGGACCGGGTTAGATCCCATTTATAGAGCACTGTAAGGTGCTGGGTAAGTGCTGGCCAAGATGGCGGTGAAGTGGAGGTAGTCCCAGAAGCAAAACGATCCCGGTGAGGAGGGAGCGCTTTGTCTGAGGCTGGGGGCCGGGGAAGGGAGGGCTCTGCAAGTCCAGCAGGAGCCCCTGGACTTGACCGAGTAGGGAGGCGGCCTTGGTGGCCGGATGAAGTGGGGAGTGGGCAGAGCAGACGGAGGTGCCCCGGGTCTGCAGCAGGGTGGAGGCGGAGGGAGTGGGGAGGTTGCTTGTTAAGGTGCCAGGCGATTGTGGGTGAGGACAGGGGGTCACTCTGGGGTGCCCTGGACGGGAAAGCTCTCTTCTAAGCCTGTGAGGTTGAGATGTCAGTGGGACGGCTGGTGGGAGAGGTCTGGTGAGCTTTTTGGTGATGCTGGGCTGGGGCTGAATATGGGAAGCCTCGGATCGTAGGTTTTGAGCTGGATGATGAGTCCAGACCTCTTGTCTTAACAAATGAGGAAACTGAGGCACGGAGCAGTTTCGTGACTTGCCCACGATCACACCGGTGGTCGTTCAGAGTCAGAATTTGTACTCTAGGCTTCCTGACTCCAAATCCAAGCTCGATCCACCATGCCATGCTATGTGTCTGCCTAGAGGTCATTAAGTGGCAGAAGAGAGCAGGCATGACCTGGAGGAAGGTCCTTCTGGTAGGGAGGAAGGTCCTTTTGGTAGAGAGGAAGGCCTGGAGAGGGGAGATCTACCCCCAATCCAGAGTCCACACAGGGGGGCACAGAGGCACCTCTCCTGGGTGTCCACGTGGACATGGTTCTGCTTCATGTGGAACCCTGACCCCTCCACCCATGGCCACGGCTTAGATCCAGGGGTCCCTCAGACCAGGTGGGGTCCTTCACACGTACACTCCACAATGCACTCCTATTCACAACTCACACATACACTCATTCACACATTCACCTAAACATACTCACACATACACACACACATTCACATTCATACCTGTACATAAATTCACATACATTCATACATATATATACTCATTCACAGACCCACACTTACACACATATTTCCACAGATACACACACATTCTCACACATACACTCATATTCAAGACTCATTGTCACAGGCACATATTTATACACACTTATATTTCACACACATACACTCATAGTCACGCATTCACACTTACACACACATTCACATACATTCACCCTCACACCCACTGACCACACAGACTCACAAACATTCTCACACACATACACTCATAGACACACATTCATACTTATACATTCACATACATTCACACTCACACACACACACATACAAGCATTCTCACACATACACTAATCTTCACAGATTCACACACACAAGTACTCACAAGCATTCTCACACGCTCAAAGTCATGTATTCACACACATATTCATACATACAGTCACAGATTCATACTCACATACTCTCACACACATATATTCACATTCTCACACACATACGCTCATAAGTCACACATTCACCCTCTCACTCATTCATACACACACACCTAACTCACATAAACTGTGCCTCCCTCTGTCCCCACCCTGACCCTGGCTCCTGCTGCTTCCCCACCCCAGGCAGAGCTAGTGCATGAAGACATCGAGAGCGCCCTGGCAGACAGCAAGTTGGGGAAGAAGATGCGGCCACAGACACTCAAGTGAGGAGGAGTCTGGGGGCAGAAGAGGGACAGTGCCGGCCATGCCCAGCACAGGGGCCTAAGGATGGGGAGGGGGCTTGGGGAAGGTGCAGAGGGTTTCTAGCCTGCTCCAGGCATCGTAGCCCCCATGGAAGAGCAGGATCTGTGGCCCCTTCACCATCCCCTCCCTGGCGACTACCCCTGAACTTCCCATTCCTGACCTGCATGGCTATCCCCCAGGGGCCACCAGGAAAAGATCCGGCAGCGCCAGTCCATCCTTCCGCCACCGCAGGGCCCTGCCCCCATCCCCTTCCACCAAGATGGCGGGGCCCCCCCTCACAGCTCCAAGAATCGTGTGGCCCCTCCGGTGGCCCCCAATGTGCCAGGTAGAGCTAAGATGGGTGGCGGGCATTCTCCAGGGGCCCTGGTTCAGAGGCATCTGACCAAGAAGCGCAGTGCCCCCTTCCTGAATTACTCCATCTCCATGCCCCATCCCCCAGCCTGGGTCTGCCCTTCACCTCAGTGCCAGGCACAGACACACCTGCCCCTCCCATCCTTGAGATGCTGCCTCGATCCCAGCCCACAAGGAGTCCTGGCATTCCTAGGCCCCTCCCCCCATGTCATCCCCCACGATGCCTGCTCAGGGATGGCACCAAACGGGGCGGGTGGGGCAGCATCCCAGGGTAGGTCCCAGGGGCTCTTCTCCCTCCCCCAGATTATGGACGAAGAGACTCTAGCTCTCCAGATGAGGAGCCCAGGGCTGTCCTGGCCCAGAAGATTGAGAAGGAGACAGTGAGTGTCAGACCCTGTGGCTCAAACCCTGGGAGCCTGGAGCTCCCCCTGGAGGGGGCCGAGGACATTTATGCCCTTTCTCCTGGAGTTGGGGGTGGGGGTCCCGGGGAGCTCTGCCAGGCTGAGAGGCCTCTTTGGCCTCATGTGGTTTTCCAGCAAACCCTCAACTGCGCCCTGGATGACATCGAACTGTTTGTGGCCCGCCTGCAGAAGGCGGCAGAAGCCTTTCGGCAGCTCAACCAGAGGAAAAAGGGCAAGAAAAATAGAAAGAAGGGACCGGCAGGTGTGTGTGTGGGGAGGACCTGGGGGCAGGGGGGAAGGGGCCCACCTGGGGGCAGAGGGGAGAGGGGGCCCACCTGGGGGCAGAGGGGGGGGGCCTACCTGGGGGAGGGAGAGGGGGCTCAGCTGGGGGCAGAGGGGGGAGGGGGCCTACCTGGGGGCAGGGAGGGGAGGGGCCCCACCTGGGGCAGGTGGGCCAGGCCCTAGGGCCCAGGCAGGGTCTCACTCAATGCCTCCTCACACCTCTCCTCTCTCTACGCTCTCCCCAGAGGGGGTCCTGACCCTCAGGGCCAGGCCCCCCTCCGAGGCCGACTTTATCGACTGCTTCCAGAAAATGAAACTGGCCCTCAACCTCCTGGTAAGCACTGCCTGGCTCCCCTCAGTGGGGCCCCAGGCTCCTGTGCCCCCCTGCCCTCTGTGACACTCCAGCACCCAGGCTCCTTGAAGGAGATTCTCACCCCCCAACCCCTTCCCCCACACAGCTGCCTGGTTCCAGTTCCAACCTGGGGGGAGGGATGGGCCTCCAGCACCCTGGCCCAGCTCCTCCTCTGCCTGGGTCTCCTGCATGGCACCTGTTGTCTTGACCACAGAGAGGAGAAGGCTCCCTTACCACCCCTCTCTGTATCTCAGGATGGGCCCCATCACCCTGGCCACACCCCCTCCTCATTTCCTCTACCCAGAGGGAAGTACCTTATGCCCACCTCCCCTGCCTAGACTCTTAGATGGGATTCCAGGATCCTGACTACATGAAGGAAATCAGTCCCTGCCTAGTCTCCCTGGGTCTCCCTTGTCCTGTTTGAGGGGAGGGAGGGAGAGATGCCCCCCCCCACTTTCTCCTGTGCCTGGGTCAGTGTCCTGGCCACAGGGGGGAAGGTGCAATATCTCAAGCCACTTCCACTGCCTTGATCTTTGGGAGTGGGACTCCGGATGTCCCGACCACAGAGGGGAGATGCCATACCCCACCCCTATGTCTTCCCCTACTCTATTGTTGAGATTCTGAGCCCTGGGGAGAAGGGAGGGTGTGTGGCTGGGACTGGGCTACCCACCCATCAGCAATCCTCTTTTGACCAGGCCAAGCTGAGAAAGCACATTCAGAACCCGAGTGCCGCAGAGCTGGTCCACTTTCTTCTCGGGCCGCTGGAGCTGGTAACTAAGCACCCTGCTGGGTTGGCAGGGTTGGGGAGAAGTAGGCCTGTGCTCAGGGTGTCCGTGACAGCAGGAGTTGGGGGAGGCGTTCCTCTCCCCACATGTTGCAGAGTTTATCCTGTGGCCACAGGCCCTCTGGCAGTCCACCCTCAGTGGATGTATGGGGTCCCTCTGTTCTGGGCCAGAGGCGCCAGAAGTGGCCCAAAGGTGCTCCTGATGTAGCGGGGCCTGGGGCACACTCACAGTTGAGGGAAGGAGGGTCAGCCTTAGGTGGGATGGTGCATCAAGCCTGGGTCTGAGCACCAGGCAGGGAAGGAGAAGGCAGGAGGATGGGGGCCTCGCCACACTCCCCTCCCCTGAGTGTCTGGGGAATGGGGGCCTCGCCACACTCCCCTCCCCTGAGTGCCTGGGTCCTGCTGGTCCTAGATCATAAACAGCTGTGGCGGTCCTGACATTGCCCGCTCTGTGTCCAGCCCACTGCTGTCACGAGACACTGTGGATTTCCTGAAGGGCCACCTGATTCCCAAGGAGATGGCACTCTGGGAGTCGCTGGGAGAGATGTGGACCCGCTCTCGGTAAGGTATCTGGCCAGAGGACCTCCCCCGTACCAGAGAAAGCATGGCCAGGCCCACCTTCTCCTCCATCCCCCCCAGGGCCATCAGTGGAAAACAAGCAAAGGGCAGTGTGAGGTGGAGAGGCCAGTGTAGACCCCAACGAGGTCCCAAGTGGGGAGGGAGCCTCTGGAGGACAGAATGAGCAGGGCCCTGGGGAGAGGGGGCACCAGAGAGGGCTGGAACCACCCTGCCCACTTTCCCACTGTGTTCCTCCAGAGCTGAGTGGCCTCGAGATGCGCATGTACCCCCCTACATCCCAAAGTTCCAGAACGGGTGGGAGCCCCCGCTGGACGTGCTGCAGGGGGCCCCCTGGGAAGTGGAAGGTGGGCTGCTGCCCGACACTGAGGTCAGTGTGACCGTGACGCCCGAGGCAGCTCTGCTGGACTGGATCCACCTGCAGGGATGGGGCTGGGGGAGGCGCCTGAGCCAGGCGAAGCAGCCCCAAAGGTGCGCTCCCTCTGTCTGGTAACTTTCCTCTCCCTCCTCTCTCCCCCGTAGCTGAGCCCGGCCAATGGGTTCTCCTACCGTCATTCCCTGAAGCAGAGCCCAGGCCCCGAGCCTGCACCCCCCGGAGACAGCTTCCCACCAGGGGGCTCCCCCAACACTGACAGGTACCCCCACCCACCCCAGCCCTGCCAAAGTGCTTGGTGAAATGTTGAAATGGAACCTGCAATAAGGGAACACAGCCACCAGGGGGCAGTAGCCCATTTCCCTGGCTCACTCACTCTATAGATGCCCAGATGGACTGTTATTCCCAGAGTCAGCCCAGACACCCCCTTGTCCTTTCAGAACTTAAGGAAACACCACTCTTAAGCCGCTGAACGATGTCCTCCCGGCATGGGGTGTCTTCCCCCCTGCTCCTTAGCTCTTGGGTCTAGCTGGCTTCTTGGACCCAGATTTGGAGGACTGTGGAGGCAATGGGAGCCCTTCCCCCCAGGCCGGCCCAGGGCCCACTGCCTCCACCATCGCCATCCTCCGATCCTTGTCAGCGCCCAGTATGGCTTTCTAGCCATCAGCTCCCTCTGTTGCACTTGGGACTTCTTTCTCCTTGTGGTCAAGGACAGCAACAAGGCTAATGCTCATTCTTTCCAGCCCTTTACTCTAATGCCGCTGTGGAGTGGGCACTTTCAGCATGTTGAACTGAAGATGTTGCCCCAGGGAAGTGACCTACCTAGCTAGGCAGGATGGCAGCCAGGATCTGAACCCAGGCCTCTAGACCCAGCCCTCTTGCTACATTATTGTGCTGCCTTTTGTAGCAGAGAGAGAAATTGCTGCGGGAGTGGGGCAGGGGGGCTGGGGGGAGGGCATTGATCTGCTCCAGCTGAGAGTCTGGTGACTGGTGAGAGGCAGGGGAGGGGTCTTCACAAAGCACTTGGAATCCATACAGTTGTCCCCCAGTCAAACAGGCTGCCCCATGTGGGGGGTGGGGAGCGTCAACTCAGAAGATCCTGGGCTCCCTCCCAAATCCAAGTTTAAGTTTTGCAATCAGAAAGGGCTGACTTTTTAATTTCTGATGAGAGCATATCCCCCCCGCCCCAAGAAAGGACCAGCTGTGAGGCTAGCTGGGTGGGCATCGAACGTCCAGACAATGCTTTTCTGAAGGCCGCTGCTGCTAGCAGCCTCTAGCTTTCACACGCTGCCTCTGGTGCTGGCGACCTTGGTGGTGAAAGCGTTCCCCACACTGACTTGTGTTTGACTGATGCATTGCTTTGATGACACCCAAAATAAGCAGCCTGACAAACCGAAGCAGTAGAAACCCTGAGTTACATGCAGAAGCGGAGAGCCGTGGGGCAGCTATGTGGCGCAGTGGATAGAGCTCCCTGGGCAGCTGCATCCAGCTCCTTCCTCCATCGGGGCCAAATTGTGCTGATGGCTCGACTCTCTTCATGTTGCATCAGCCACATGAGCCTTCCCTGTTTCTCCGATAGCTTCATCTCCACTGTGCTTATGGGGTAGAGCGCCCACCTTCTCTTCCACTCCTCCCCAGGCACTCAGCACAGGGCCTGATTTTCTTTTTTTGCTCTTACAAATAGGCCTGCCAGGAGCATTTTTGTACAGGTGGGTCTCTTCCTTCTGTTGATAGACTTCTTAGGGTGTATGCTCAGTAGTGGGATTGAAAATGGTTCTTAAACCTATATTCCTTCCAGAGTAAAACTACCTTTAAAAAACTCCCAAATTATAAAGCTTCTGGTGACCAGAGATATCTGTTCAGTCCAGCTCATTTCAGTTGGATTCGAAGAACCTGTCAGGTGCCCCTTTGGCTCCAAGGGGAGCTGGCTGAGTAAAGGTGACCTGTGGTACGTGAGCAGGGCTCAGAGTTCACACTGATCAGGCTCGGACTCTGGGGCCTGTCTCAGCAGGTGCCATGGAGCCACCTGGGTTTCCCCCTTTGGATTCTGTCTAAAGGACCTGCAACCCCGTGGAAGTGTTCAGTCTATGAAACATTGTCCAGAAGGCAGATTTTATTTAACCAGGCCACAAACATAAAAGATTCGTACTCAAGTATATAAATATTCTGGAAATTTATGCAGCCTTAAGGACTAGGTAGAATGTCCTTATAATGTCACCCTGGAACCAAGAGCTGCCTCCATGTAAGAAAGAATTCAGAGTTGCTAGGGAATCCACTTGCCTGGTAGGTCTACCTTCCTTTGGAACCTACACAGTCCACACAACTCACAGTACCAGTAAAGGGACAGGTCCAGATCATAGCTCCCTGCTGTGCCAGTCCATCCGCTTTGTGACTTCATGTGAGGACATCATGGCCTTCTGTCATGTCTTTGCTTCTCCTGATAGCTCTTAGTGACTACAGGAGGATGGGAGCCCCCAGCTCATGGGAAGGGGGACACTTTGAGGGCTGGGATATTCTGTCCCAGGCAGTGACCCCCAGCTTCCAGTCACTGGGACAATTTTGTAGGGCCATTTAGTAATGTCTCACATATGGCGCATGGAGATTGCAGCGGGGCAGACAGGTGGGATGCTTGTGGCTTCCTGGAACTGCTTCCTGGGTTCTGTTCCCCCGCGGTGAGGGGAGTCGTCTCCAGTATGTCTGGGGCTTTGTGGGTCTCTGCTCCCTCTTGGTCCGAGCTATGCCCAAGTGCTGATGGGGAAAGGTAAGCGGCCCAGACCCTCCCAGCTCCCTGGCTTCTTCAGTCACTGCCTCCTCCCTGCCTGCCTCCTGCCTCCTGCCTTCTCAGGATCTCCTCCCAGGAGGCCCAGCAGGGCTGACCCACTTTGCGCTCCTACCCTCTCCTTGGCAGCCCGGTTGCTGCATCCACCGCTTCTATTCTGCTGGCCTGCCCCATAGGCCAGGAGGGAGGAGGAGACCCCCCTCTCGACCCCTTGCCATTCTCTGCGCAGGAGACTTGAGCCAATGGCCATGGCCAAATTCGCCAAAATCCGTTATGACTTCACGGCGCGTAATGCCAACGAGCTCTCTGTGCTGAAGGACGAGGTTCTGGAGGTAAGAGGGCCCACCAAGCCCTTCCTGCCCTACTTCCCTGGGCCCTGGGCTGGGGCTTGGGCTGGGGGAGAGGCCACCATTGCCCAGGGCCTCAGGGTCAGAGGCTGGGAGAAGATGCAACCCAGGACTGGCCAGGAACCTGTCCCTGTTCTTGGCTGGAGGGGGAAGACAGAAAGACCTGTCCCTGGCCTGGAGCAGGATTTAAGCATCCTGGTGACCATGGAATGAGCCAGCAGAGACAGACCGTGTTGGACAGCCTGTTGCCTTCTCCTCCCCCTGCCCTCAAGGGCCTGGCTGGGCCCTGTGTATTGTCCTCCTGAAAACACTGCATTTGCCCCAGGCAAAGCCCTGTCTCTATGCTAAGACAGGGAGCCCTCTGGGGCCTCTCTGACTGAGCCCCTCAGATCTCTTGTATGCCCCATTGGCCGGGGGGGGGGGGGGTGGCCTGGTCCCCAGAAGACAAAGGGCCAGGCTCAGCACCCAGCTCAGCTGTGTCAGACACAGCCAGTGCTTCCACGGGCTGTGGGTGGGGGCAGAGAAGGAAGGAATGGCACACCACGACCTTGGACTAGGCAGAAGCCCATGGATGCTGAGCTGATGCTCTCTTCCTTGGGCCAGTCACCCCCCAGAATCCTCCGGGCTCCCCTGTGGCCCAAATCCAGGTCATCTGCTCTGGGGATGGTAAGTAGAATGGGAAGGGTATGGGGGAAGGGCACGGAAGAAGCCCCAGTGAGCCGAGCCTGGCTTCGCGGGCAGGACCCACAGCTAGGAGGGGGCAGTCACTGATTTGGATGAGCGTGGGCTAGAATTGCCTTGGAGCCTCCGCTGGCCAGGCGTGTCATGTTCCCAGCAGGGCAGTGCCCGGGCAACAGAGACCCCTGCAGACTAGCTGAAGCCTCTGTAAGCTCTCTCCCCCTACCGAGGGAGGGAAGAGGCCACACGGAGCAGGGGACAGTGGATCCAGCTGGCAGTCAGTTGACCTTGGTTCTAGGTCACTATAAGCTTGCAGTGACCTAAGGCAAGTTCTCTTCCCTGTCTGGGCCTAAGCTTGGGCCCAGGTGATCTTTAAGGCCATTTCCTGCTCTGAGAGCCTGGTCTTAGGAAGGGGGCCCTTCAGCCCAGGCTAGCCCCAGCTAGTTGACTGGTAAGGATGTGAGCCCAGGGAAGCTAGGTTTTGTGGGTAAGAAAGAGGTCAGTAGTCTGTCTGGGCTGATTGTGGTGACCTGAAGATGACCCTGAACTGTCCCCCAAGGTGCTGGAAGACAGCAAGCAGTGGTGGAAATTGAGGAACCGCAGCGGCCAGGCTGGCTACGTGCCCTTCAACATGCTGGACGTCATCCGGCTGGAGGACGTGTACCCTCTAAATGAGCAGGTGGGGAGCGCAGAAACCTAGCTGAACCTCTTTAAGGCATGGTGATTAAGCACCTATGGGATCACATGGAGGCCCAGGAAGGAGCCCCTGTTCTTCCAAAGCTCCTGTCCTACCTGGGGACAGGGAGCACAGGGGCAGGAGGTGGGGATGAGGGTGCAGCCAAAACCGGGGGACATCCGTACGGGGTCCAGTGAGGAAGGAAAGGCCATCTCCTGTAGGAGGTGATGCCTGAGCTGAACCCTGAAGGAAGGTGAGGACTCTAGGAGGCAGAAGGGAGAAGGAGAGTGTTTCAGGCCAGTGGAAATATGAGGATGACAGGCTGAAATCTGAATCTAGACCAGTGTGGGGGCCCTCGAGGCTAGCGAGTGTGGGGGCCCTTATGGTTAGTGAGTGTGTAGAGGGTGTGTGGGGAGAGGGACATATGGCAGGCAGAGGAGAGGAGCTGAATTCCACGCTGCTGACACCTGGCCCAGACTGGTTAGCATATCTCCCCAGGGAAGCAGAAAGCTCCTGGGAGGAGTGGGGAGGGGCCCTGGAGAAGAGTTCTGGATTCCCAGTGGCCAGAAGGACAAGAAGGATAGCAGTGGCCCTAGCATCAGCTGAGATGATTGGTGGAGGAGCAGAATTGAGGGCAAAGCTGAGGAGTGCCATCTACCAGGCCACTAGTAATGAAGTACTGAAGCTCAGGACAGGGGGAGGGGCTGGATAATTAGGTTGGAGAACCACCAGCATAGTGATGCTAAACCCACTCAAGCAATGAGCTCGCCCAGAGAGAGCAGAGAAAGGGGTCCAGGACAGCACTGGGAGTCACCCAGAGTGCATCACCAAAACTCAGCAGGAGAATCTATCAGCAGTGTCCAATGCTGGAGAGAGGTCGAGACACTTAAGGACTGAGGAGAGGCCCCTCACCCCACCCCAATCAAGTAGTTAAGAAATCCCAGGGAGCTTGGAGAGAGACCCTTCTGTGGCAGCTAGAAGGGGAAGGAGTGCAGACAATGGGTATAGACGGCCCTTTCTAGATGTCTGACTGTGAAAGGAAAAGAGATTTTGAGAGTATATAGCAAAGCCAAGTTAAGGTTTATTAAGGATAGGACGGGCCTGACACATTTGCAGACAGCCGAGAAGGGAACAAATGAGACTGAAGATGAAAAAGAGGGAGAGAGAAATAGGGGTAGAAAGGGAGGAAGGGAGGGAAGAAGAGAAAGAAAGAGAGAAAGACAGACACAGGCAAAGGTGGGGGGAGAGAGGAGAGAGACAGAGGCAGAGAGACAGAGAGAAAGACAGAAACAAAGATAGAGACAGATAGTGGTGGGGGTGGGGGGAGAGAGGAGAGAGACAGGCAGAAAGAAAGACAGAAACAGACAGAGGGAGACAGAGGTGGGGGTGGGGGGAGAGGAGAGAGACAGGCAGAGAGACAGAAAGACAGAAATAGAGACAGAGAGAGACAGATAGAGGTGGGGGAAGAGAGGAGAGAGACAGAGGCAGAAAGAAAGACAGAAACACAGACAGAGAGAAACAGATAGAGGTGGGGGTGGGGGGAGAGAGAGAGGAAGAGAGACATACACAGAGAGAATAAGGTCAGGGCAGTCCCCACCCACAGTCAGTTGTTCTCTCTACCTTCACACCAACACCTGCCCTTCTTGGGGTTTAGAGACACCCTTAAGAACAGGACATTCAGATACCTTACTTTCTTTTTTTGTTTGTTTTGGAGGTTTTGTTTGTTTTTTGCTAGGCAAGGGGGTTAAGTGACTTGCCCAGGGTCACACAGCTATTAAATGTCAAGTGTCTGAGGCCAGATTTGAACTCCAGTCCTCCTGCCTCAGTCTCCACCCTGTTGGCCATGCCCCCCAAATGCGCCCTCCCACTGTTCCAGATGATCAGATGGAGAGGTCCATTCAGGTGGCGTCAAGCAGCCTCGAGGATGCTCCTAGGGTGATGGGAGGCCTCTGCCCTAGGCCTGTTCTGTTCCACCCCAGAGATGTGGTTAAAGGCACACTGGGCACTTTCACCAAAGCTGCAAATCCCCTGCCCTCCAGCAAGCCTTGAAAAGCTACCCTGTGAGTGCCAGGTCTGACAAAACAAGCCAAGCCCTGCCCTCCAGGGGCTTACATTCTATGGGGGGGAGGGGCAGAGAGGAAGCAACATGTATACTGAGGGCAGAGGTCTAAGAGGAAAGGCAGTTTGTTGGCATTTGGATAGGGGCTGCTGGGTAAGGCAGAGTGACAGAGGATCCCCAGGAGAGGTGGGGCTGGGGGCATTCACTGGGAGCATAGGAATGCCACTCTGATGATCAGTCCCTGGCAAAGCAGGACCACAGAGTGGCCTGCCTGGCCAGCCTGGCAAGGCTTATGCAGTCCTAGAGCCAAGTGGCCAGGTGACCCTCGCCCCCCCACTGCTCAGTCCCTCTCTCTCCAGATGCCCAGAATCTGACAGGGGCGGCATGGCCCTACCCCACTCCAAAGGACTGAAACCCAAAATCCCAAACCCAATAGGGACTTCTGCCTTTTCCCTCTCTTCCAGGACAATCAGAAATACCGAGGAGACCTGAGTCTCCGGGGCCCAGGCCCCACCAGCCCCTTCCACAAGCTGCCTCCCAGCTATACAGGGGACAGGGACGCCAAAGAGCGTGAGTCACTGAAATCCTGGGCCCACTGCAGGGCTGGAGGGAGGAGGCAAGACTGGGCCTAAGACAAGACCTCTGCTCTCATCTGAGAAATAAGGAGGATGCTGATATCTGGAATGAGAGGAATTTGTTCACCTGGGGTGGGGGAGGGGCCAGACAGCATCCATGGCAAAGGAGGGAGGGGGACTGCAGGGTCCCAGACCCTCCACAGACCAGGACCAGGCTGATCAGGGAGAGGGCACTTGGGAGGTGAGCTGGGGGGTGGGGGAGAGGCCATATTTCCTGCTAGGAGACAGGGCCCTCTGGGACACCACATTCCCTTCCCCTCTCCCAGTGCTGCCCTGACCCCCCAACCCCCAGCATAGGAGTGAGCTTGGTAGAGGACAGGAAAGCTTGGAGACCCCCAGAGAGAGAACATGTCCCCAGGGGGTGCCTCGGGAGCTCCAAACAGGAGGCAGGACACCTGACAGTCCCCCTGGAGGTCAGGTTTCAGCCAGTGTGAGGCCACAGGGCATCCTGGGCGCAGGCCAGAGAGGAGTGCAGCCCGGGAGTTGCCAGGGGCACTGCCAGTGACCACCTGGCTCTGCGGCTCCTTGCAGAACTCATCCACCATATGGATGAGCTCAACCATGAGCTCATCAAAAAGATTACCAACCCCAAAGGGCAGCCTCCACCGAGGAACTTCCGGGTGGAGAAGAGCAAGGCTGCTGTGGCCCCACTGACCTACGGCTCCAGCGCCCAGGAGGTCAGAATGTGGCTGGAAGCCAAGTCCTTCAGCCCAGGGTAAGTCCTGGAGGCTGGCGGGGAGTGGGGGTAGGTCTGGAGCCTTGAATGCCAGGACAGTGAGGGAGCCCGGCCGAGTCAAACCAAGGGTCACCAGGCCCACCACCCCATTGCTGCCCTCACCCTGTACCCCCTTCCTCCCAGGATCGTGGAGCACCTGGGCATCCTGACAGGTGCCCAGCTCTTCTCCCTTAACAAGGACGAGCTGAAGAAAGTGTGCGGGGACGAGGGCACCCGCGTCTACAGCCAGCTGACCGTGCAGAAGGGCTTCTTGGAGGTCAGATTTCCCCCCCCAGGTCTCAGCCTTGACCTTCTGACCTTCCCCTGCCTGGGCTGCCCCCTGTCTCTATTTGGGTCTCTGTCTGTCCTCATCTCCCCATCTCCTGTGCCTCCCCATCCTCAGGGCTTCCAGGGCCCCCCAGCGAAGCTCCAGATGGTCACATGTGGGGGGTTGGGGGGGAGGGTGCAGAGGAAGCATTCCCCTCCCTTGGGAATCCTCAGACTGAAGATGGGATAGGATTCAAGAGTCACTCAGGCCTCCCCAGTCTGTGAGCAGGTTCCTATCTCAGCCAGCTCAGCTTCCTCCTCCTCTCCTCCTCTTCCTCCTCCCCTCTCCCCCTCCTTCTCCACCTCCTTCTCCTCCCCTTTCCCTCCACCTCCCCTTTCTCCCTCCCTCCACCTCCTCTTTCCCCCCCTTCCCTTCCCCTCCTCCCCCTCCCCTTCCTCCTTTTCCTCCTCTCCTCCCTTCTCCTTCTCCCCCTCCTCTTCCCCCTCCTCCCTACCCCTCCTTCTCCACCTCCTTCTCTTCTTCCCCTTCTGTTCCTCTCCCCCTCCCCTTTCTCCTTTTCCTCCTCTTCACCCTCCCCTCTCCTCCCTCCTCCTTCTCCCCTCCTCTTCCCCTCCCCTCCTCCCCTTCCCTGCCTCCTTTTCCTCCTCTCCTCCCTCCTCCTTCTCCACCTCCTTCTCCTCCCCCCCTCCTTCCTATCCCCTGTCCTCTCCCCTTTCTCCCTCCCTCCTCCCCTCCCCCCTCCCCCTTTTATCCTCTTAAGTCACTAGTCTAACTGAAACCCCACCCTGCTTTTGTTTCTCCTTTAGAAAAACCAGGGGGGGTCCGAGTTGGAGGAGCTTCTGCTAAGGTTCCAGAAGAAGACCATGGAAGAGGGCCAGAGCTAGGCCTTTGTCAGGGCTGGGGAGGAAAGGGGCTCCCTGGCCCAGCACCACTGTCCTGGGGGCTCTCCTCAGTATTGTGTGAAGTGTTATTTTATATCCCTACTCTTTTATGGGGAGGGTGCCCCCATGTGGACACAGGACAGCATGGCGGCAGCAGGCCTGGCCTGCCTGGCCCGCCTGCCCCAACTTGACCCCCCTGCCCCACTGCACCCAGGGCAGATCTTCCCCTCCCTTTGGGGCCCCCAGGGCCAGGACACCCTCACTCTCACGCCCTGGACATCTCCAGCTACTTCTGCGCTGCCCACCTGGAAGGGCTGACCTGGCCCCCAGATGGCCCCCAGAGCCAGCGACACCCTTCCTCCCCACTCCTCTCTCTGACAGGCCTCCTGGCTCTCCTCAAGTACATAGCCACTCACTCATGGTGCATCATAGAGGAGACATCTGAGACAGTCAGAGGCATCTCAGAGCCTACCTGCCCTGCCCACCCCCACCCCCCAGCTCAGGTCTGGTGGGCAGCTGCTTCCGCATCAAGGAAGAGGCTGTCCTTGTCACACTAGTCTGGCCCCTGGGATCTCAATGGAATGTGTCAGTAATAGTCACCAACTCTATCCCAGCCCAGACCTGAATGTTCAGTGTCCCTCTACTTGGGGGCCAGCCAGGAGTTCTGTACCAGCTCCTCAGCTCAGCCAATCTCTGGCCTGACTGTCATGCCCTGAAGAGAGGGGGGCAGCATGGCATGGTGAAAGCCCACCCCCACTCATCTTGGCCAGCCCGGGTACCTGGACGGAGAGACCTGGGAGGTGCCTGGTGCCCTCCTTCCTTCTCTGCCAGGCTCTTCCTAGACAGTGGGGGAGGGGGGATTCACCCCCCCCCAGTCACTACCCTGCCTTCCTGGGCTAAAAGTTCCTCCTGAGGCCCGCTCCTGCTGCCCCCAGCCTGGTGGGGCTCTGGGAAGGCCAGGGATCCCCTCCGTGCCGGCCCATTGGCCTTGGGGGTGAGGCCAGTGCCCACAAGGGCTCCTTTCTTTTCCTCAGGAGGCACTGGCTCAGCCACGGGGAGGGGCCAGGCTCAGCAGGAGACCCGAGAAGCCAAGACTGGCCCCCAGGGAGGGGGTGGGTGCCTCATCTGTCCTGGTACATTAGTTCCTTTGTAAGTTCCTGACTCCATCCTCCCCACCCCGGCGCCTAGGGACCAGCCAGGAATGTACCCAGAAGCTCTGGCTCAGACAACCTGGAAGAGGACCCACTATAGCCCCACACCCTGACCCACCGTCTCCCAGCCCAAGATCACAGGGTACAGGGCCCAAGACCCATGGAAGAGTCATTAAAAACTCTCATGTATCCACTAGCCACTGGCTCTCTGTATGCCCTAGGGGGAGCCCCCAGGCTGCCCCTGGACAGGTCACCGGGTGGCCCCAGCCCCCTTCTGACCGGCAGAGCCCCAGCCTCACAGCCAGCAGGCCAAAGTTCTGCTCCAGTACCGACTAAGTGGGTGCCCTTGAGGAAGTGCTCCAACTCCCCTCCCCTGCAAAGTAAGGGTGTTCACCTAGGTGACCTCAGAGGTGCCTCCCAGTTCTGTGACTGGGTTTGAGGTCAGTGCCAGGCTGGGCTGGAAGGATGGCGTGGCAGGAAGCCCACACCAGGGGGCCAGAGAAGGACGGTGAGCTGGGCTCTCCCAGCGTGAGAAGTTGGGGAAGGCTTCTACCAGCGGGCTGAGGTGTGGGGGCCCAGCCTGAAGAACTGACCTGCAGTGACCTTGCCCCTCATTCCATGTCTAACCCTTCCTGGCTTCTGCTGAAGCTGTGCAAGGCCTCACCAGGACAGAAGAACGGAAAGCGGCGGGAGGGGCAGCTCAGTGGATGCAGAAGGAGGGGGCGGGCATCGGGGAGCGGCTGGTGAGCAGACAACCTGTGTAGGAGGTGGGGAGCATTTGGTCTTGGTGGGGAGGAGAAGATTGCCCCACTCTTTCCAGAAGCAATGATGATGTTGATTATGATTCCAAACTCGAAAAGGGGAAGAGGTTGGAGCTCAGAAATGACAGACCACAGGGAGATGGATCGGGGCTTGCCCTCCCTGGAGCTCTTGCAGAGAAAGCTGCCTGTGGCAGAGGGGCTCCACTGGGGGCCCCTTCCAGATCAGAGATGTGGGGCTTCTGCTCCCGGAAGTGTCTGGGGGGGGGTAGTGGGGTAGTTAAGATCCAAAGCTATGTTCTTGTGGCCAAAGACCAGGAGAGGAGGAGCCCACTCCCATCTGGATGTGGGCAGTGAATGTGCCCTTGGCCTTGCGTTGCCTAGCCCTCAGTATGGGGGCAGAAGCCAGATGTGGGAGGGAAGGGGGTCAGTTATACAGGGAGAAGGGCAGCCAGAGGAGGGACCTGGGGGGAGGGGATCAGACACGCAGGGTATGGGCAGCCAGGTGTCCCCCCCAGAGAAGGAGGGACCTGGGGGGAGGGGATCAGACACACAGGGTATGGGCAGCCAGATGTCCCCCCCAGAGGAGAAGAGACTTGGGGGAAAGAGGAAGAAGGAGTCACTGACAAATTTCTTGCCTCTGTCCTTGGTCTCACACAGTTCAGTGCTCAGTGTACCAATCTGTGGGGGCACCACAGAGAAATGGGTACTACCCTGTTTGTCGCACTCCCATGGCCCACGGGAGAATCACACCTTAGAGTGCCGGGGATTTGAAGGAAACGGTGTGGGGGGGGGAAATGCATTGTGGAAGGTAGACGCCTGGCCCCCCAACTGTGCTCTTCAATCCCGAAGGGGCTGAGCCCAGGGATGCCAGGATGAAGAAGACCCTATTCTGTGGTGAAGCTGGAAGGGACCCGGCCTCTTCCTCCTCCTCCCTGGGTCACTTCCTCCGGGGGAACTTGGGGGGAACCCCAGGGAGGGAGCAGGGGGGCGGGCTGTGGGTTAGGGCCCTGGAGAAGGGCAGCTCTTCAGGCCAAGAGCAGGGCCTTGGCCCCCATGCTCACAGAGGGCCTCTCACTTCTCAGGATTCCAGGGGTTGCCCTGAGGGGTTGGGAGGGGTTGTTTGTCCAGGTTCTTAATGTTGTTTTGTGTCCTGGACCCCTTTGAGAGTCTAGCCAATCAAAAGATCAATAAACATTTATAAAGAGCCTACTTTGTGCCAGGCACTGGGGACACAAAAAGAGGCATCAGCTGGTCCCTGCCCTCAAGCAGCTTCCCTTCTAAGGGGGAGACAGAAAACAAGCAAACACATACAAACAGGGAAGCCCTGGGATTCAGGGGCTTAGGGAAGGCTTCCTGGAGGGGAAAGTTTAGTTGGGACTTGGGGCAGGGAGGTCAGTGGTGAGAGCAGAGGAGGAGCCCAGAGCTCGGAGATGGAGGGGCTTGTTCATGGAACAGCCTTGGGGGGGGCCACCCCACTGGATCAAAGAGGACCTGGTGAGTGTGAGGTGTGAGAAGACTGGGGAGAGGGGGCAGGGCATAAAGGGCCTAGAAGACCAAGCAGAGCTTTTATATTTATGCCTGGAGGCAATTAGATTAGTCTACAATGCAGGGGGTGACATGATCAGACCTGGGCTTTAGGAAATCATGTTAGTGGCTGAATGGAGGATGGGCTGGAGTAGTGGGGAGAGAAGGAAGCAGGCAGACCTCCCCCCCCCAGCAGCAGGTGTGAGTGATGAGGGTCAGCAGCACGAGCCTCGTCTCAGCCACTGGTGGGCTCGGTCACCCCAAAGGTTACTCCTTCCTCCTCATCTAGGATGTCTGGGCCATTCTTACTGCAAAGTGCAGCCTGCATCCTGACCTCTAGACCTTCCAAACTGCCTAGGTGGGGAGACTCCACCCCCTCCCCCTAGAGTACAAAAGAATAAATCTAGAGACCCCACCCAGTAAGGTTCTCACCAAGTCAAGAGCAAGTTAGGCAAAGAGATGCCCTCTGCCAATCAAAGCACGCCTCTTCACCATAGGTCATCTTCACAAGGTACAGGCCCAAGCTGAGACTTTCGCCCCTTGCCTCAAAAGAATTTGGGTTAGGGGGCAGCTAGGTGGTACAGTGGATAGAGCCCCAGCCCTGAAGTCAGGAGGACCTGAGTTCAAATCCGGCCTCAGACCAAACACTTGACACTTACTAGCTGTGTGACCCTGGGCAAGTCACCTAACCCCAATTGCCTAAAAATTAAAAAAAAATTTGGGTCCCATTTGTTTGAGGGAGGAATGACAAGGTATAGGCTCTGCAAACCCTCCCCCCTTGAACTCTCCTTGAATTTCCCCACTTGATGAAGTTTCTGGCATTTGCCTGAGGCTATAATCCTCTCAATTGGCCTTGCCTTTCATTATGGCCTTGGCCCAATCTCCCAATTCTCAGTTACCCTTCACCTAGCCCAGTTCTTCATCATCTGCTCACCCTGGCTACTTTCCATCCTTGATCCTATCTAGACACCCGCTCTCCTGGTCCAGGTTCCTGGGCTCTGACCTCCCAGTCACCCCAGGCTACAGGCCACTCCCATCCAGATCCTCCCTAGACCCCTTCTACCAATCACCCCATCCACTCCTAGATCCCTCCCGAAGTCTTTCTGTATATAAAATCCATCTTGCTTCCTTTAAGTTGCTCAGATTCAATGTGGCCCACTTGCATTAGCAATACAAATGCCCAGATTCCTTAAGAGTCTGGCCAATACAGTGGATTTTTAGCTCTACCGGTGTTCTAATAAACTTGTCTTTGGCTGAAAAGAAGGCTTGGGTCGAATTCATTCAGACAGGACCCACATGTTACTATCTGGGGGTCCCAGCACCCCTAAACCAACAATCCTGCCAGAACCGTTTCCAGAATAAGTGCCCTCCCATCTTGCCCAGGCCTTCCAAGGCCTATCTGATGGCCCATGAGGCCTGCTCCCCCAGACCCCAGATACATCGAGGTGTCATTGTGGATCCAGACACAGAGGCCCCTGGTGTGACATGAGCCCCCACCAGAGGACTTCTCATCACGGTCGTCGGCTGAGACGTTATTTGACGCTCAGACACATCGCTGAAGTAGCTTTTAGAGAGGAGTTTTACTAAGGTGGACAAGAAGAATGGTTGGTATCAGAAGTCTACACTCTCCCTCCCACCTGTACACCCAGACTCCAGAGGAACATGGGCTTGAGAGCACAGGGGCAGGAACCCCCATATCCTGGCTGTTGGAAGACCCCTTCTCCCTCTCCTGGGGGTGCTTGAGGAGTTCTCCTGGGTGGCTGTAGTTTGTATCTGAGCCCTTTATAGAGCAAAGAATCTCCACACAGTCTTAGGAAATGCTTAGGGCCTGGAAAGGAGATGGGCAGTTTCCAGACGGCAAGCCTTTCCCCCCCCCACCCCGTACCTCGGAGCCCAGCTCGCCGTCCATCCGTCCTTCTGTCTCAGATACACGCATGATGGCCAGGCTCCACAAGGCATCCATTCAGATGTATGCTGCAGTCTGGACAATAAGCATTTTTCATCCACTTGGTCTTTCCTACATGGATGGACAGGCCAACCTTGGTTGCCTCATGACAGATCAGATCATGTGACATCTCCCCATTAGACTGTTAGCACCTTGTGAGCAGGGCCTGACTTACTTTTCTATGTGCATCCTTAGTACTGTGCATTGCACACAGCAAGCACTTAATCAATGCTTATTTTTCATTCATTCATTCCTGTGAAGGATGAGAGGGAGAGAAAAATCCCCTTTCCTGCCCTCCCCTCCAAGGGGCTGCGGTGCCTCCCTTAACCACCTCTAATTA